CTAATTTTTACTCGTTAAAAATATAGTTAATGTACAATAAAAACCAAACAAAGCATTTTACACAAATGTCATACATGTGTGATGGTTTGATATAGCCAAAGCAACAATATAACATATGCCAAATATATGTTAATGTTATCATAGCAACGGTGATCAACAGCGTTACACATATTTATGTGACGCGTGGTCGTGAATGTATTAAATAACCATTGCTGCAATAAGTTCTAGATTACAACAGAACATATTGAATATATAAACACCCACAGTCTAACAATGATCATTTTACGTGAAAGAATTAAAATTTTGAAGATTAAAGTTTTTACTCTGAAATTAATTATAAATTATTAGGAGACAAGAGTTTAATATCCAATACGAATAGGAATTATAATAAAAACCAACACGTTGTTTTCTTCTTTTTTACATTTATCCATAGATATAGTGTATTTCAATATTAACGAAGACGTACAAAGGTAACATGTGTGATAATATTATAATCTGATAATGTATTACCTACTCTTTTAACGAAGTTGTAATTTCATTGAGAAAAATATAAAACATTCGATACTGTAGTAATGAAACTGCTCAACAATCTGTATTTTCTTCAATTCCGTCGTTCGTTCGTTACACGCAGTCAAGAAATAAAAGTTGCTTCTTGATAATATAAATTATATTTAAGAATACAAGAAGGTTTAGATTAGTCGTACCTACAATATTTTTTTTTCTTTCATCTTATTCAATAAGATAGCTGAACAAAATATAAAATAAACATTTTATTGTTATGCATAACATAGAACGTTATTGCATCCTTTTCCCTCACAGAACATTGACTACATTGACTGCTATATCATTGACACTCGTGTGAAACATTTAAGACAAGATCAAAAAGTAATTCTTACAGTGTGACAATAATATTTACAATAAATGAATTAAATACATTTATTCTTTAATTGTAAAGTGTGATAAAATTAAGAAAGTGTGTATTATAATAAACATTATAATACAATTTTCATTCAGTAAAGAATTAAAAATTCTTAATTAAGATTTTCAGAACTATATGGTTCAAGCGTAAGTGTCACAATTTTTCAATTAGGACTAAAAAGTAATTTGTACAGTAAGAGTTTAAAAATGAATCTCTTTGGAATGAAATAAGTATATAGATATTATAATAAATCGTGACTGGTGTATTGGATTGGTGTATATGAAATTGTCGATTAAAAATAGAAAGAAAGTTCCCTTCTTAAGGTGTGTGCAGCATAAAAGTGAAAAAAAGTAAAAAATGCGTTCCAGAAAATTAATTTATTAAGAAACTTTAGGTACACGAATCTTTAAAAATATTCAGAATAAGATATTTGTTCCCATAATATTATTTACTTAAAACCATTTAACTATTAAAATTGATAAACATGAAAATCTAAAACTATACAACACACGTTGACTATGCTTAACTAATACGTCTTGATTTGCAGTTTAGCAAAATTAGGAAAAAAATACATTTATGATTTCGATATGTAATCTATATTAACTACTTGGCAGTGATAAATATTAATTAATTCCCCCAATCTTTTACAAACAATATAAAATTGATTTAAATTGATTTATATTTTCTACCTTTATACAACTTCGCAACATTCGCTCAATATCTAAAGAATTGAGAAAGCCTCAAATAATCATAGTTCCTTAAAAAGAAATGATTAGTTCTGATTTTTCTACATATATTATCTATTCTTAGAAATAAAAATAGCTGGATTCTTTTATTAAAAAGCGCAACTCATAAGCACAACTCACTAAAGGTAAAATCAAATAAGTAAAATGCTCAGAAAATAAAAAAAAACATTTTTACTCTTCAAGTGGAACATTTTCACATTCACCAATCTAATATTTTCTCCGTAATCTTGGTGAAAGGATTTGAATTCCGTGTTGACTTCATAGACGTCGATTTAATAATAAACGTATTAACAAATGACGAGGGACGAGGAATGATTAAATATATTTTATTCGTCCAAAAAAAAATATATATATATATATGTATATATTCAACCTCTAATGCGTACTCTTTCGTTAGCGCACAACGGGGAAGAAGAAATAAGTAAGTACACAGATCGGTGAACAGGAATGCACAAAACAGATTTACATCAGTATAAATGATTCGTATATTGCTATTACTATTATTACGCATTTACAATACAGCTTCCTGTGTGACAAGATAAGTTTAAGATTACTTCGATCGACTACGGAAACAATCGCGCGTCAGCGAATGGTAAGACTCTCGTGCAGTCTACGTTTATCTAGCGGATAATTATTGAGCATCAGATTTGCAGTACAGAGATTTGGATATCGAACGCACGGATCGTCTGGAGAAGATAAAAAAGAATAAGTGGAGCAACCATGTGACAGGTCTGTTCATTTGTTGGATACCAGAATCGGTCAATATTCTGACATTTTGTACTTTGCGGGAAATGGCAAACTGCACGAGTATCGTTCGTTTCCGTGAGTCATAAGACACGATGCGACAGACATTTTCTCTAACAGAATTTTTTCAGTTTTACCAACTCGTCGAACCATTTCAGTTTCATTTTATTTCTACATTGCCGTTCGCTCGACAGCGAAGTTGGACTTGCTGTCCAGTTTCTGTGGAAAATTCTACTGTTTTCTTTCAAGTTTTTATTTTGTAATAATTCACGTTGAACGTTGCTGAAAGTTATATTAATAAAAATTTTGTTTGTACTGGAATGTTACTCGAAAGTTTCAGATCATTTCTAATTTTCATAACTTGTGAAAGCAAATAAGTGGAGAATAATCAAATTTATAAAATTCTCACGCGTTTATCATTGTTCCACAGTCATACATGTAAGTTTATTTACTTGAAGTATTGTTCTTTTTCGTTAAACAAGTGATCTCAAACTTTTAAGCCATAACGCACAATCTAATCTAGAAATAAAAGTGAATAATAGTTCTTATATTTTACAATTCATTTAGGATTTGTATACAGTATACTTAAAAACTATTATAAAAATTTATACAAATTTATAATTATTATAATTGCATACAATAAAACGTTATTCGTGTAGAAGTCGATCGTTTCATATGAAATCTGTAATTTTATTATGTTCGAAAACAGAAGAACATTCCACGGGATTTAGGAGATTAAAAATAAATACAGTCGAGCAATACATTAATGCCATTGACACTTCGTTAAATAATTTTACTAAAATTCTTCTAAATAATTCAAAATGACTTTAATAAGAAATAAATAGTTGTCATTAGATATGTTTTTGCTCATTTCATTGTTCCTAATTGCGAGAAAAGAAATATGGTATTGTAAAAAATAAAAGTATGCGCGAGAAAGTTTTGATATAAAATCCGTTTCTTGTACTTTGTAGTTTATCTCATCAACGTTACACGCTAGTGGCACTCGTTTCACTTTTTCAATACCTTGGTAGTTCAAGGAAATACGCGCGGACCTCATCGTAATAAATAAATACACACGTACACATTAAACATGTGAGCGTATTTATTTATTTATCTATTTATTTATTTAATCACGCGTGTATGTATAAAAACTATTTCGACGATCGCTATTGAAGAAAATCACAAAACTTTTGTGCTATCGTAACATGATCGTCGCAAATAAAGCGAATAAAACTTCGAAAAATTAAACCTATTTTGGCACCTGAGACTCGAGTACATTCAGGTTTATAAAAAAATTCGTTCTATACTTATTACAATAGTCATTGTAAATTGAATACGACGACAATAATGATTATTAAATTCTATGCATTTTAATTCTAAAAAATAGTAATTACTAAACGATATTATTATTAATTATTTGTATAGAATAAGGACGATCTGCTTAAGAAGGCAATATAACGATACAACGTATTTAGAATTTCATTGGAGAGAAGATATTTGCATCGTTAATTATAAACCTTGTGCTTCCATATTGACACATTTTGCAGTGTTACATAATCGTTTTTACGTAAACGTATACAACAGTTTGGAAAAAGTGTGCTGTTATATGAGATCATTTGTTTGCATTCATTACGGTTATATAAAATATATAACATTTGTGACATATAAATAACAGAGTAAACCGTAGAATTTCCGTTTCAAAATGATAATCACATTCACACAAATTAATAATCTACAACTTATTATTTAAATGTAGTAGATTACATACAATAAAACCTTTTGTCCATATCATTTATTCCCACGCTAGTGTTAAAAAATAATTTATCAGCTACAATGTTCATAGTCCTGCTACGAACATTGACATTTACAATTCTCACTTTTAAATAAACCGTTTTCCTTAATTTCAAGTGTACAAAAGACTTGTTCAGTGTTTATCTAAAAAGTGATTAAATATTTCTGAACAGCAGTGTATTTCAGAAAATACTATATATACATATACTTTGTTTTTTAAAATTCTAAATACGTTATAATTGTTCGTACCAACATTTCTCAAGCCTCTTAAGAGATAGCAAAATATTTCGTACGAAATATCGTAATAGAAAATTAATTAGTTTACAAAACTCAGTACGATGCATTCTCTTCAATGGTCCGAGGTGCACATATCGTGCTTCATGATTTCATGTAGAAACGAACGAGGCTTTCTCTCGCTAATTGTTTTTTATCATTGTTCCTCCTCAAGACATCAACGTCAGTTTCTACACGAAGCCCTGAACAGCAACCGAGCTGCAGCTACTTTATACAATGCGGACTAGATCACGATATTTTTCAGGACGAGAAAAACGGCTTCGTTCTTGGTTCCTATCTACGGAAAATAAATGCCAACTAATTCCTCCGATTTTATAATCAAAATTTGTGTAAGATTTTTTTCATTTTTACAACGGTTTCAGAATTTTTACAAAGATTTAAACATTTTTACTGAAAAAGTAAATATTTTATTTAATGAAAAATGAAAATAACTCTCGAATTTTATTTTGTTATTTGCTATTTTCAATTTTCACTGCGTTTGCATCATAATATTATTCTTTCTTAAAAATTTTCTTGGCAAAAAGTGAGTTTGGAATAGAAATTTAAATCTCTACATTAAAGTATTTTTATTAAAATATGAACATTTTTAATCGGTTAAGATTTTAAATATTATTTGAAATATTTTTTTTTACATTTTATCCAGCAGTTAGAAACTAATAAAGACTTGTAAAGACTCGAAAGTTATTAATTTCCTGCACAGTAAATTAAAAATGACAGAACGAAAGTAACATGATAAAATGACAAATTAGAGATACATTATTTTTGTGTTACTTTCATTAACGTATTTTGATATTTGTAAAAATTATAAAATCGAAGGTATTACTTCTCATTTAACCTATGTAGAAAAAACATGGCGGTCTTCTCAGCGGACTGGCCGAGTTTTGAATGATTACCGCGGTTCACTGGTATACAAAATATTTCTCATAGCTTTCGAATCACTCGACGCCTGTATCGCTTATCCATAAATCGTAAATATATTCTGTGTACAAACAGATGGTATATAAAATACTTTTCGATCGTATAAATTCTAGCATTCAAGACCTCGGGATGTTCTTCTTCAAGTAATCTTTTCAGTTCTGCTTCACGATGAAGGCGACAATACAATTTCGTGCAAGAGAAATTGTAAAAATATCTATAGGAATATAAATATAAAAAGTCCCTCTTAAATGACGCTGGAAAAAGATGTAGCAAAGATGTTCGCATATGATTTCATTCGACAGATCCGAAAAGATTAGGATTTACTAGAGGATTAATAAAGTCAGAAACAACCTTTAGAAACCGTTATAAATTTACTATTCTTTTTTCGTCTTTCTTTTTTATAAAAACTATCAATATATTTTATCGAACACGTCTTCGTGTTCCGATGATCATAAAATCCAATTTACAATTGTTTAACAGAGCTTATATTCCGCGGTATAATCGGACGCCATACGTTCACAGCTGATTAACCTCATTGTTTTTGGTCCCACTTCGAAAGAATTATTGCGTGTATTTAAAAATGTCAATATTAAATCAAATGTATTGCAATTAATCGATAAATGAATTTATTCTTATTTAATGCAAAATGATGTAAGATCAGGTTCTGCGAAATGTTTCGTTATTATTCAATTTTAAGGCAATCGCATGATATTAAACTAACTCGAATGAAAAAAGTGTTTAACCCTTCGACGGCGGTGACTGGATTCATTTTCACCCAGTGTTTTAAACATGTCACTTAACTTCTTACTTATTTACACTGAATTTGCATTCTTAGTTAGTTATATCAGATTTAATGACAAGTATCACACATTCCGTAAAACCACGTTTAAATGAAATATTTAAAAAAAAAGTAAAGAAAAGAAAAAACAATTTGTATGGTTCAAGTTATCGCAGCTCATAAAGTCGTAAAAAAGGTCCGCCTTCCGAGGGTTAACCGAGCAAGTTAAAATATAAAAATCCTCTTCGCTGTAGAAATAAAAAAGGTATTCACCAATATCACGATAAAAAGAAAGGAAAACAAGAGGAAAGAATATTTTATCTATAAGCTCGCAAAATACAGGATCTACATCGATCAATATAACAAAACTATTTCAATAATGAAAATCAGGTAGAAATTGATTTTCATTATTACTATTAAAAACCAATCAAAATTCATTAATCCCTTGCCATACAATGACGAGTGAGACTTGCGATGAAGATTGCTAGATTAATTTAATAAAAATTAACGTTCTTCAGTGAATCAAAGTAAAAAACTATTTTGCTATTCCCAATTTACCATCTTCAAAGTAAACTGAATTTACAATACAATACAAAATTTCTTTGCGTTCTTTCCAAATTGTTGATAGTAAGATGCCACACAAGCTTTAGAGACAAAGGTAAATAATACAACAAAGGGTTTATAAATCAATGAAATTTTGAACCGATCAACCTACATCCCAAATTAAAAAAATCCAATCTGTTTAATCCAATATAAACGAAAGAACTTTCCGCAGAACCCGATAAAGAAAGCAACAATTCTATCCGAAATCATTAAGCGAACCGTTCGATTATGAATTACGGTTATTGGACGGGCGATGCCGGGTTAAGAAAGGAGAAACTTGGACTCGATTTTCCGAATAATGAAAATTACACTAGTCGACAAATCCGTTCTCCGTACTCATTTCGCTCAAATCTATATTAAAAGGTTGTGCAGCCGACAGACTTTCCAACAGAGTACATGCTTTGTCCGGACAATGAGGATCCGTCGATCGTGTTATATAGGAAGAACGTATCATTGAAAAGGGAACGCGGTTTCATTCCGGAGACAATTGTGTGAACGACAATGTCGGCTCGATAACAGGAACCTCGTAACCGCAGTAATAGTTTATTTAATTAGCTCGTCTCCTTTTGTTTTTGACTTTCTTCCCCTACCTGCAAGGATCGTCGAGCTTGTCTCTAGAAATCGCCACCAACGATGAGCGACGACGCGCGTGCGGCGGACAACTCGCGCCGAGTTTCGTTTCGAGGAGGAAAAAGGAACTGAATGTTTTAACAGGCTAAGTCCTATCTCGTACGATTCTCGTTATCTTATCGTTTCCTTATTGTTTAAATCTAACCTATTTCTAAATGCGTGAATTGACTATTCGGTGACGGGAGAAGATGCGCTCTGAGGCAGTTAAAGTGTATGTAAATCTTTGTCCTCGAATTTCTCTGAGGAAACAATACTCGTTAGAATGTCTCAAAGTAAAAGTTACATAAATGGTAAACGGATGATTACGGTGGTGGAGAGTGGACTGCGGATTTTGGCGTGTTTGTATATGTAAGTATATAGAAGACCATAAGATCGGAATTTCGATCGAGTTCCATGACTGAATGTCAATTTGAATGACAGAAATAAACTTCTGTTTTTTACTCTTTTCGCGAATTTGAAGAATCTGGTCTATCAGCGTGTAAATTTGCTTCAATATCCGCAATTCGGTAATGATAGTCAATAAATTGATAACATATGTCTAAAGAGAATAACCAAATGTACAGGGTGTCTTGTGATTAATGATTCAATCAGAAAAGGTATCATTGTACATGAAAAAAACAAATTAAAGTTTTTCATTTGAAATACTATTTTCGAGAAAATAGAGGATGAACGTTTATCGAGCACGCATGCATTTTGCTAAATGCACGTAATACAGTTTACAGGTCACTTCACGTGAAAAACTAAGTAAAAAATATATGGTAAAATTTTGTTACTTGAGACTCCATTTTCGCAAAAGTCGAACAAAGTTTCTATCAAGGAAATTTCATATTACATTTTTTACTTATCTTTTTATGCAGCCACTGAAGTTTCCAATCACAATATCCTCGAAAAAGTATTCTCAAATAAAAATATTTCCTCCAACATTTTCAATTTTTTGTTTCATATAAAATGAATTCCATCCCCGTTACATCGCCAATTACAGGACACCCTGTTTACGTCTTACAAAATAACTAAAATTATTAGAAAAGCTATTAGCAATAATAATCATGATAATAATAATAATAATAATAATAATAATAATAGTAATGATAAATGTAAAATTGTTCGTAAATTTACAAATTCGCGGCATAGACAATTTAATCTGCCTCGAAATCGAAATGTGAAGGTGTTTTGCAGTGGAAAGAAACAAAAAGCAGTTCATCCGGCGTCGGAATTGTACGCAGCGGCCAATTGAACTTTAAGCACCAGACACAAATTCGAAGCACGGCATCGCAGACGACACTTTCGAACCTGAACACGGCGTCTCGTCACGAATTGGTCGTCACAACATTGATCCTATAACTGCGGGCACGGCACGGTTTGCGGCGGCAGCGCAGGCGGCAACGGGGCGTTCTCTTCGTGAATCATCACGAGTTTACCGTACTTCACCATTCTCGTCCCATGCTTTTGCTGCAAACAACATCTTGCCCGTTTAGTACGAACCGCCATCTCTACCATCAACTTTCGAAACTGAGAAAATCGTTTCCTTTTCTATCGTGTGGACTATACGGTTGATTGGAAAAGTCCACCTTGAGTATCAAATAAACGTTGCACAGTGTTAGAAACTTCCGACGTGAAACCATGCTGAGCGAATTCGTGTGATTTAGATGATTCATGATACTCTCTCCCTTTTCTTTCTTTTCTTTTTCTCTTCCATTTCTTTCTTTTTTTTTGAAATTTAACACTAATGATACGAACATGGATATCACGATAAAAATAATGATACAAGCGTCCGTATGCATATCTGTGTGTTACAGTTATATTCAAACGTTTGTGTTCAGTTGTATGTTACAGTGACGTGAATATTCGTATTTCCACTGAAATGAGAATTGAATGTTGAATATGTCGAGGTGTATTAATAATAAAAGAATCATGTAATATCGTATGCTTGTTTTCTTCTTCGATAGAAGTAAATATTGTGTACAATTGTTATAAGGTAAACGGATATAGGTAATGGTACGCAAACTTACTAGAAAACTTCAATAGTGTGTTTTACCTGCGACATCGTTCCCGCTGTCCAGCTTCCGTTACTGCTTCCGCTGTCGCTTCCGCTGGAGGTGATGCCGTCTTCAAGGACGAGTTTCGTTTCGAACCCTTCGACTTCTAGGTCCAAGTAGAGCTGGCCGAGTTGATCGTTCACCAGCAAAGGCTGATCGAGATTTTTTAAGACGTCCATGTCAGCTTGAAGCACTTCGTTCAATGTCTTCGGGTGGATTTGGTACTCGTATATCAATTCTGGTGTTAATTGGACGCCCTCGAGCCATGGCGGCTCTTTTCTTCGCTTACCTTGATGCTGTTTCACGGTCTCCTGGAAATAATTGAGTCTTTGATCCAATCAATTGTCTATGTTATAAATAATAAAACGGTAACTATGAAAATTATTAATATTACTATAAACCCTTTGGGAACGAAGATTTTTTAAAATATATGAAACCTTCTGCAAATTTTTTAAATAATAGCGGAAAAGAAATAAGGTAACTCTATACTGATCCCTTGCTATTTGAGCTATTAAATCATTTATTTGGAGCTTATTATTATGATTTATAAATTAAAATTGTTAAACGAAATTTGATTTGTTAATGTATTGGTTACATTATCAGTATTTGTTTTTATTAACCCTTTGCACTCGAAAGTTTTTTTCTTGCATATATTCATTATTTCCTAATAAAATACTGATTAATTCATTGACCCCATTAAATAGAAATAATACATGAATTAACGAATAGGACTATTTTATTTTATGTAAGATAAATAACCAAGTTATAATAATATTATCATTATCCCATGAATAATGCGTTTTTTATATTTCTTTTATTTTTAAAAATGAAGATAAACAAAACTATTTTCAATCTAAAACATATTCTCGTTCATTATCTATCAATTGTCTATCTATACAATATAATTTCGTAAAAAATGTTTTGTTTATCTTTACTTTTAAAGATGAAAGAAATATAAAAAATCGCATTATTTATGGGATGACCCAATGATTATTATAATGATGCTGGGAAAAATAGACGACGATGCTTGAACAATTTTTCCCGTGGTAACCTGTGACGAGTATCCTCATGAAAAGAAACAAATGTAGGTAATAATAACATGAAATATAATAGGAATACATTGGATTGAGGAAATATTTTCAGAAGCAATACCATGTACTTATATAAACAGTGAAAGAAATCGAAATAATAATAAAATCATATAAAAATCATATGAACTAAATCACCCGATAGATGATTTGCAGGATCCAAAGACTCACCTCCGGCAAGTACTCTGCTGGTTTCTGGTCGGGATTGCAGCTGCTGTCACTGCTCTTGTACAAGAAGCTGCTGTAAAAGCTCGAGGAACTCGATTCGTCGACGTTATAATCGTTCTGCTTGTGAATCTTCTGATTAACTGGTGTTGGAGCGTCCACTAAGCTCGAGCAACCCCCATCGTTGCTCACGCAAGATGAAAAGAGTTCACCGGGCGATAGAACCTGGTTATTATTAAACGTCCAATGTAACGACAATAAAAAGGATCATTTCAGCCATTCATACGTCAAAATGTCCCCATCCTTTGACTATTTTCAAATTTCATCGTAAAATTTGTCAAATTTTAAAAAAGCTTAATCGATTTTTTATGTATGTAATTTCATCAGATTTTTTTACTTTTCATTTTCTTCATTTAATTACTTTGGCAAATGAATGGCTCGGTCAACACGTTCGCTACCAATATCGTGGTAGATTGTCATATTGTTGCATATCTACAGAAAGAAAATAAAATTAATGCTGTAGATGTTGTTTGATAAAGTTAGAAGATACGGCATTATATTTAGGAACCCAATAACTCTTTTCAGTTTCACTTTTTCAATGTTTTGTTTCGAAAATTTGTTGGATTTAATAGAATATCACCACTGAGAAAATTGTTACTGAAACAAGTGGTGGTAGCAAATGTATCAAGGTGCAAGCTACACATCGTATGGATGCGGTCAACTCACTTTTTTCGAGGATTCAGACATTGCCATAATGCTGCCCGGTTCTGCTTTGACACTTGTCGCTTGGCTCGCTGGTCGTTTTCGTTCCAAACACTTGTCGACAGTTAGCTGGTTGTTAGTTTCGCGAGGAATCGGTGTTTGTTCTGGGATCACGAATGGCCTGTACATCATACCTGCTGGTGGACCGCCGATCACTGGAGGACAGATCACTCCAGCCATTGTTGTCGTGACGTATGACACTGGCACAAACACTGTAACATTGATTAAAAATACTTAATCCATTAGTTCTGATTATAGTATTTTATTCTTTTACATGATCTTGTTGGTCACTCTAACAATGAGAGAAAAGTTAAAAGAGGAATTAAATTGAAAGATGGAAATGGAAAACACTGAAACTTACAGATAAAAAAGAAGAAATTTAATATTTGCACACTACAAACAACTAGCGAAGTTTGAATATGAAAATGTGAAATAATTATATTCAGAAAAATATTCACTAATTTTTTTCTTATGTTATAGAGTAAGTTACGAGTCGCTCCTATTGGTCCACAGCTAACTTATCGTCAAACAATAAAGTGGAGTGTTAACAATAATATGTTAAATGACTTGATAATTTAATTTACAAGATAGTAGACAATCTACAAAAGCTACAAAGTATTAAACATAACAGAACAATATTTACATAAACTAATAAGATGATATGTCGTGAAACTTAATTTGCTTTTAACTACTTTCAGTAAGTTTTTTATCGTTATTACTTTTCCATTTTTTTAATTTTTTTAATCATTCTACATTTTCTTTCCTGCCATGTAATCAATAGTCAGTTCTTAACAAAAATATACGTACTATAAGGATTTATTTGTGGATGTTGAATTGATTGCTGTGGGCTGAGTTTCTCTTGCAATGGCGATAAAACTGTAGGGTCGTTGGTTTGTGGAACCGGAAGGTAGTATACTGGAATCATCGATGGCAGTACTGGTACCCTGGGTATTGCTTGTGAATTGGCACTAAATTTGGATAAAAGTATTATTCAGTATATAATTTAATAATTTTCAATAGAACATTAGCTAATGTAAAATGAATTTTAAATTAATATATATGAACTTCAAATATAATATCGATCAATTTCAAATAAAAACTGCATGTGCAGTAAAAATGATAATCCTATTCGGAATAAAACTTAACTTTTAATTAATTTATTAGTTGATAATTCTTATTTAATTTAGAATCAATTATTTCTTGTGTATAACAAGTTTTAATAAATATTTTAATAAAACATATTTCTCGTCAACAAAAGTATATGACTAAACAACTAAATTTTCGTTTAATAAATGTTAGTGTAAATTACTGTAAAATAATGTGGCGTTAAAATAGAACCTGCGACGTGTATGATTATGGTTAATTTTTATTTTTATTGATTACTGAATTATGAGAAAGAAACTCACTTTTGTTGGAGATTGTTTGGTTGAGCGAGTACTGAAGGCGGTACGGTAACGGACAATGGCTGCCACAGATTTATGTTACCACCTGTTTGAATAACAGTAGATTGATCGAGACTCATGCTTGTCACCGTTGCAGTGACGTTCGTAGGAAACTGACCCGCGGTGCTTGTCCTCGACATTTCTTCATGTTTTGAAACCTGATTAGATAGTATCAAATATAATCATATCAATATTTAATTTTGTAATTTAAATTGTCGATTAATCTTAAAGAAATCTTTAACCGCACTTCACCTTTACACAATCTTTATTTAGGATAAATTTCTTCTTATACTCGCATTTATATACATGCATTCAATTTTGTTTTCTAACTTTTTTCTATAAGTAAAAAAATCTTTAATTATTCCAAAGAAAATATAAACTGCGAAAGATATTACCTTACATAAAAATAATATTATATAATAATAATGCTTTATATACCTGTAATTGTATCGCGTTTTATATTTCCTTTGGAATAATCATTAAACATATTTTTACTTGTAGAAAAAAATTACAAAACAAAATTGAACATATACGTCTATAAATTAACAAACTATCATGACAATTATGCATTTAATAAACGTATTTGAAAAATACATTTAGTACACACACACTAAAATAAAAAAATTATTAAAAATAACATGGCTTTAACTTTACTGTAGGTACAAAATGATGTCACACTGTCTTCGTGTAACGTTTGTTCTAATTTAGCTTCTAAAACTCAGCATGAGACCTATAGTCTGATACGTAGGTTGCTTTAAAAGTTTCGAGAATCTTCCATTTCTAACATTGTCATTCAATTGTTTGTTATTTTCGTTAAGCTTCACGCTTTTAAGTCTACAAAGTATTAACACAATACAATGGAAAATGTATCAATATTGAAGGAAAATAGTTTGAAAAACTATCAAACGATTAGTTCCCAAAACTGTTGGAGCAACTCACGTGGAACAATGTCAAAAATATTGCAGTCGTGTATTTTATACGTATTTCACGTATATTTTATATGAATAATATTACTAACTTTGAAACTGTCTCCCTCCCAGCTATGGCTTCCACTTCGTTTCACTCCGTGCCCTTGGTTGAGGAAATGAACGTTCGGTTCCGCCATCATTTTTTCAGTCTTTATCCGCGAATCCTTCAACTTATCACTATTTTTAATACTGGAACGCAGTTCCCGATGTTTCTGCATCATTAGCTTCTCCATATCCTCGTTATGACGATTTAATAACGATTCGGTTAACGTGGGAGGCTTGAAACTTTCAGTGGTCGTTGTGTTGCTGGTGGTGTTCGACGTGTTGCCTCTGCTCGCTGAACTGGTTTGGTTGTTCGAACCGCTACTCAGATTCTCTGCGCTACCGCTGCCGCTCGCACCACTTCCGTTTATTGGCGACATACATTTTCTCGCTGCCAATAACATTACACATTATTAAATTCCATCGTAAGAAATTGTTGTTTTTGTAGGTCGCAATAAAAGCAAAAAGTCTTTTTAAGTATGTATTAGAGTCCACTCTGGTTCAACACCTCCACAAGGGTTTGAAACTGTACAACTCCCCAACCCATTAACGACTGAATAAGATAACGAAATTCTGTTACAAAAATGCATACATTTTTCTAATAATGCTTGTAAATAGTATAAAAGTAAAAGAAAAAATTGTTTATATTATTCGAAAATTATATACCAATTTATCTATTATCTTTACCAATTTCATTAACAAGTTGACTACTCCGAGAGTTTTGAACAATTCATATAATAATACTTATCCTCTCATAACAAAGTCAAGTAGCATCAGAAATGTATTATTAAGAATTTGGTATCACAGTACTTATGTTACACTGTTATCTAGTAACTTATGTTATTAAATGTCTTTATTCGGCATCAATTTCCTTATTGTAATTATTTTCAAGCAATTTCGAAGCTCCAGTCGTCGGTGACCACCGTAGTAAGTAGTCAACATGTTAACACTAGAATTACCAAGCGTTTAAAACGATTAATGTGTAATCCTTATAAAAATTGTAACAATAGATCTTTAACGATTTTTTCACACACTTATTATAGTATTCAAGTGAAAGCATTTATTTAAAAAATTTTTTTGGATATTTAATATTTTTAAGCCTTTGGATACCGATAGCGTCTAATGGCGTTTTAAAAATTTGGTTTCGGTTTACTGTTGGTGCCTACAGGAGTCTGTAAAATGTTATTGACAATAATTGTAGTAAAGCTCGTTTCTATTAGACGTAAGTGAATTCGATTTCAATAATTACATCTTCCGTTACTCATGTATTACATAGATGTGATTATTTTATATTGATTTTATCTATATCAGTTCAGTGTTTTGCTTGTTTCAATACATTTTCTTAGAAATACGCGCTGACGAAAAATTCCGCCGTTTTCAATGCAGGTCGCAATTGACCTTCCACCGTATACCACGCGCGGTATTAAAGTCTGTCGTATCCAAAGGGTTAAGACATCAATAATAGCGAAATAAGAAAACTAAAAGTCGTCATCTCGACAGGTGCGATAATTCTGATGTTAACACTAAAACTACCAAGCAGTTAAACTGACATTTTGAAATTTGTATATAGAAACTCTAAAAGTGCATCTATTGAAACTTTAATTGATTTACCATTCAGTTTGCGCATTGCTAAACTAATTTCTTTAATAATTTCTTAGAGGAACATCTGTTATCTTTTTAACCCGTTGAATGCGATGGGGGTCACCGATGACTCCCAACCAAATCGAATTACTATAGTTCATTCAGTAAAATTGACGATTATTTAAAAATATTTCTATATTACAACTAATGTTACCTAATGCGGTGACATTTAGCTAGATGAACGAGCAATAATAATAATGTATTTCAATCAAATGATTTATTATTATATTTCTTCCAGTTTGTATATTTTGCTGTATGAAATCCTGTGGCATTCAATGTGTTAATGATTGTAAGAAGAAGGAATCAGGAATAGGAATATATTTGGCAGTTTAGTGTTAATATACACGCTCAACCGTCAAAGACTTAACGAAATCACACAAAAGCCTCACCCGCTGAATTCGGACTTGTTTTGCCACCCTCGTCGTTGCTGGAATTAATATTCTCCTCGTCGCTGCCGTACATGGTGGCGACCGGCGGTTTACTCTTAAAGAACCTTTCGATATTCTCATTGTAGTTGAGCTGATTGTAGCTCGGCGGCGTCTCAGTGGAAGATTTGCTGTCGTAGTACTCGTGATGGGGCGATATCTCACCGAGCATCACGCTGTCGTGCTCCTGTAACAAGGGATTGCGTGATCCCTTCACAAGTATATTGTAGCGACTTAGAATGAGTTGTCACATGATTTTCGTCACTGTCAGTTGTTTTGCATATTTGCGTTGTGTTGCGTTAGAGGCGCGCGCCGAGTGGTTTTAATATACTATTTCTCTTACTTCGCTCTACGTTTCGTTATTCCCGGTGTATTACGTCGGTTTCAGTATTGTTAGGACTGTTCGCGCACCAAGGAAACAAAACAAAGAAAGAGAAGGTATAAAATCAGCCGTTAATTGCGACGAAGTTATATCGTGCGAGCAAAAAGGAAGAGGCGGCGTGCGTGAGTTTCAACAGACACCACGCGAGATTCGCGACCGCAAAAATGCAATATTTACAGCACACGAGTGACCCATTGAACAACTTATTCGTTTCACCAGGCCTTCGCCAATTGTTTCATTACATTTGACTACTACACAATCGACCAACTTCCTACCAAATCCATTGTTTCAACGTCCCCTGCCCGTTATACCATTATTCACTCACACTTGCTCTCCTAGCTTTCTTCGAATCGTGTCGTTCGACGCTGATAGTCGAACAATCCACACCTCGATTGCTGATCAATAAAATTCGTCGAATCAATGTTGAGATCGTGATGGAATCGATTAACATCAGCTATGATCACATGAACTTCAATTTCGAAAATGCCTCGAGAAACGATTCGTTTCGAAGATAGCAGTTGATCGAGGAAGAATAATGGATAGAGGAACATTTTCTTGTTCTTCCCTTGTTCTACCCTCCAGTCTCGCCCTAACGTATCGCTTCGTTAGTTTCAAAACCTTGTAAGTGAAGAGACGCGCGGGTCTCCCTTCACGAACGTCATATTGCAATAATTTATAAATAGACTTGTAGGCGTAATTGCATCTCGATTGTTTCTTGCGTGCGAGCTGGAAACTGTCCGTACTGTTGTCGTAACAGGTTTATCAGATAGTTCTGTCGTTTTTATAATAACTTTAATCTTTTTAATCATTTTAATTCCAATTTTTAATAATCTTGATTTTATTAAAATTTTTAATAATTTTAAACAATTCACTAGTATACGTGGTATACCAGTAAAATCTATAATTTGTCCAACAAGACGAGGCAGTACAAAAATTAAAAACAGATGTGCGATAGATGACTTAGATTGGACTGCAAGATAATCGTATACGAATGTTTTGTTTATGTCTACTGCCTCATCTCTTTAAACAGACTGTAAATTCCTGATGTCTTTCATTTTGTATTTCCCCATTAGCGTCGTGGGAAATAAAAATAAAGAATTTAACCATGAATGCAATTTAAAATTTATAAATAAATTAAAATAGGTGTTAATAGAATGAACACTTTTTAGACTTTAATAATAATAATAATAATGGTTGATAGACAAATTGCATTTTTTTGTGTTTCAAAGATATTGCATCATAAAAGTTTCATAAAAAAATGGAGGAATTCATGCAGAAACTACATACCTTGTAAAACAATAGACCTTTCTGATAAACCGAATTTTAAATTGTCCGAAAATTGACTACAGATTTCATAAGCTTATTTTCAGATGATCAATGAGCAACTATTCATTTCACGTAGTTTTCGTATACAAATTAGTATTAACATTTATTTTAGTAAACATTGAAGTCATATTTAACAGAATTATCGTACAAGAAACTACTGACGCATGTTTCAAAGATGTACAAGTTTGAAATCAACAGTAATTTTACGAAATATTTCAATATAATTTTTAAGAAATGTAAATGCAGATATTTTTTTCAATCTTGTGCCAATAGGTCAATTTTATATGAACAATTTACATGAATTGCCATTTAAAAATCAAAATTAGACTCAAAACTCACTCAAGAAACCTGTAATTCATTTTCGGACCACCTAACAACATCCGACCCCTGCACTAAGCAATACTATATACTCTATCCTTATTGGAATCGCTTAACTAACACAGGACACGATTAAAATCGTACTGTCACAAAGACACAATGAAAAAATTCAGCGAAGGAAAAAAGACTCGGCATTCGGCGGAAAAGTCATTTTCCTGAGGTGAAAACGACGACGAAAAGTACCGTCGAGAGGTCATAAGGAAATACGACAATAAAATACCACGCACCACTGACGGTAACAGAAAAATGTTCGAAGACAAGCAACGTGTCGATCGATTAAAAGACGAAAACGTAAAAACTACAGGCAGAAATTACCTACAAGGTCGATTAAGGAAACATTCGCTGCGTGTCAACAATATTTTCTCTGACAGAGAAGCTCTGCTATCGATTACACAGAGAAATTACCATGCAACAAGACTGGAAATAAATGTGTGCATCAATTATGTTCATCGACGAAGTCTCATCAACCACGTTGACTCCTGTTCAACGCAGAAAGTAACGAGGTCAACGAATACAACGACCAACTCAATATCATATTCGTAATTATTTCGTTTTGCATTTTCTCTCCGTGGCATTCTTCTCGGTTTTCCAAGGTCCGTCGGCATTTCTAAGTCTGCCGATGGCAGGAAAACGCAAGCGATCAGTTACTCTGTATGTTCCAAACTGTTGCAATCGAGGTTGACTTGACAGAAAGGTTTTCTTAAATTTTTCTCTCTACTTTCTTTTCTTTTACCGTTCTGAATCAAGCAGACGTTTTGTTTTCATAACGAATAATAGTATTGAATGAAAAAAAAGTAAATAGACTTACCAACAACGTCCCTACAAGGTTTTGAAATTGACGCTATCCATCATCGGAACCTACACAATTCACAGTTTGCCCTCCGTCCGTGTCTATGTTCAAAACAACTTAGTGGATGGATTTTCTTTTCTCGTATCTTTCCGTTTCTCATCATTTTTATTCGTGTACATGTACATACGTATCATATATACATATTTGTATATACATATATACGTGTACATATATCTCTCTGACTCTTTCTTTGTCTATCTCTCGTTGCTATTTTAATTCGTTCTTACTTACGACTAGCCACGTGAGAAATTACGGTAGCAGATGTGCGTGAATTACCCTAACTCGTGATAAATATGTGGCTATAGAGTTACTTTTGCGAGACAACCATCCGGTTAGATCGTGACACCAGGCTGTAAAATGTTTAATCAATTGCTGTGTATCGTTTACTCACCTTGCACCCTTAGTTTTCCAATAATTATGTAAGAAATTCTACGATGTACATATATCTGTAGGAAGCAACGGGAGTCTAATTTTCTTATTTTGAACAAGATCTTTTTCAATATTATTTCAATGAAAATCGAAAAATGTCGAAGACGCTTGAAGTTTGAATAATTCTTCAAGTACCTAAATATTAGTAGCGAAGAGTGAAATATGTGGTAAAATTCCTAGCCGCTTCCTGAACAGACATATCAGCTTAGAATATTCCCCGGCCCTACACCTAAGTCGATTACACACTACTTACGCCATGCTTTCCTGAACGACCCAGCAAAGAAAAAAGGAATTCTTGGAATATAAATCTAAAATTTGTAAACTACGATCATTCGAATTTATTTCGTCACAAAATCTACTTTATTGATAAACTCTTCGAATCTATTGCATCATTTGAACGAAATATTCAACAGATTAAATTGTTCAACATAAAAGATTCGATTTTTGACTTTTCTATTCAGCCGAACGATAATTCAATTTATTCGCATTAACTAAATTGAACGTAATTCAATTCTTCGATTCTAAATGTATTCGTCGGTGGTTTTGAACAGCGAGCAATTTTTTAGTCATCGCTCAAAAGTAAAAAATTATAAGAGCAAATTCCATAGCCAGTGTTGAAAATTTCTTTTTTCCTTTACCGTGCCGATGGTTTCTATGCATTTTCGATACGATACGTTCGTGTTGTTATGTCGAGCATTATTATGAGATACGCAATTACAACTGCAGAAAAAAAAATTTAGTGAACTTGAAACTTGGAAGCTAACTACTATACTGCGGATTTTATGTGAATATGTAAAATTCCATCAAAGATCTTAATAAATATCAGCAACGGTTTATCTCATTTTTGCATTAGTTTTTACTTAGCGAATGCAGGGCTCATTTATGTTCGCGTAGTATACATGTGTCAATATCTATATATTGTGAATCGTACAACAGTATATACAATATTTTAGATACTTTAACTGTGCATAGAACTTAAAGTTATTCTAGAATAATAATTAATAATTTGTAAGTTCAAAACAAATGGCAGTAATTATTTACAATTGTCTAGTTACAATGCATATTTAGCACGACAATTGAAAAATGTATCAAAATTTAAGAACACTTCTTATTTTGTATAAGTACTTTAATCCTTTACTTGAATATTTCTTTCCCAACTATGCTTAAAAAGATTACTTTATTGTTAATTTGTTGTTGTTGTTAATTTTCCAAATTGTGTCCATTATAAGTCTACATTTATTCTAAAAATTAAATATTAATGAAAATAAATAAATTCAATTTGAAATTTTTATTGTAAGTTAAACTTGATATTATTACGAAACAACAGGTTAATAATACATTATACGGAACTATGTAACATGTATTTATATTACAGAAATAATACTAATATTATAAGTATTACGAAAAGAATATATCTGCATCAGAAATATGGGCTCAAATAGATCCTGCATTCGCTATACGGATGACTGCAACACGATCCATTGTTCCGGGGTTAAAAAAATTTTTTTATTAATTAACATGTTCACTAATGTAGCTTTTATAATGAGAACAAAAGAGTTACGTAATATATTTATTTTCAATTTTTATTTTAGAAGTAAACATATTCATTTATCAATTTACACCACCTGTTGTTCAGTGGCCGAGATTTTATAAATCGTATAATGCATTTTTTCTCAACAATCGCGTTATTACTAGTACTATATGAAAATAAAAAGTGTTCTATTGACTAAAAAATCTTTCGAGTCTTGTTAATATAATACATACTTCTCAATATAAAAGGTTTGAATTGTGATTAATAGATTTTATGTAGTTATAGAACAGTTACCGTCAAATTAAATTATAGTACGTTTTAAGTAACAATTAAGATACCTTAACATAACTTTATAAAACTCTTCCTTTTGTATCTGAAACTAACTTCCGACAAAAATAATATTTCTTTCATTCATCACAGTCAAAAGCTTAAATTTATATAGAGGAATGCAGACTTACTACGAAATATATCAATTTTCTAAGTTATGAAGTCCAAAAACCTTTTACCACCCAGATTGATGACACGATAAAAGTAGATAATACGTATTCAATTTGAATGCTACCAGTAAAAAACTATATACAACCATCATGTCACGTCTATCAGCTGAAGTCAATGCACGGTCACATTGAATATCTGGTAATCTTCAATTACATCCAACAAACGTAGACACTAAAAAGCTTAATCACATCTAAAGAAGAACAATGACAAAATTCAAAGATTATTTCTTCTTTCATGTACAATTTAACACTAAACGTACCGCGAATGACTGGTTTTAAAATTTGATTCAAAATTCAGCGTTTTTGTTTTTCTTCATTTCACTTTATATTAATTCTTATATTATTATATATAGTTTCCAATTTTTGTCTTTCCTTCTGTTCCTATTACTAATAAGAAAAATGTACGTTCTAACTTGTTTACCTTCATTCTGTAACTAATTATTTGAGTGATTACGATAGGAATAGGTGTATATAAAATATTGATACGTTTAGTGTTAATAAGACCAATCGACCATCATAACACACTGAACCTATTTAGACGAATCAAGTAAATTGATGGAAAATAAGAATTCGCATAAATATCCACAGTATAACCAATTAATACAAAGTGGAAACTAGTGAAGAGTAAACCTGCAGGCGATGGTGCCTATAAGGTGTCTGGTCGAGGTTTGAAAACATCAATGAACGGATCGGTACGAAAACACTTTTCGTCGGAAACGATGCAGTCTACAGTATCTAACAATAAAATTTAATACCTTCCACGTTATGTCGTCGAAAGCAGAACGTGGGAAATATTAAAAATATAATGTATATATATATATTGTATATAAAACGGTTAAGTATACTTTGTTTGGTAGCATACCACCAGAGCGCGTCATAGCGTAACTACTAGGCAGAATAGATAAAGTGTCGGCGATACTAAAACGTAGCTAATAGTCACCGAAAAACTCCTGTCGTCGGCAGCGACCACATCTTTGCCAAGACCAGTTGCCCTCGTCTCCTGGAGCAGATTTTCCATGAAGGACGCGAGGTCCTTGCACCTTTTTGACACGTCGAGCTCCGCTATATCTGACTTTCTTTGGATGTTCTGCGCAGACGTACGATAGAACAAAAGAAAAACGTTGGGGATTGATAGATCAGCCAGGAAACAGCGTTTCGTTTCGGATACGACTATACAGGACGCCATGGGAATGCATTATTCGTTACTCTGCGTAACAACAGGTTATCTTTCGTTCTAATTCGTTTTCGTTTTTACCACCCCTCTATGCACGTAACTCGCTTTACTCGAGGTGTCCCGTTTTTCCCTTGTCAATTAAATTTACGTTATATGTATATGGTTTCATAAGATATTTCTCCTTTGCATTACGGTTTCTGGTATAAAAAAGCAACGATACTGGCGAGTACTTAAACTCCTGATTGAAATCAAGCTGTTATTAGATGCCTAATGGAACCTTAATTGTCAGAACGCACGGAACTTCTAATTGTTTGAGTTTTGTTTTTATTGAGGAGGAGGAATATTTTGAATGAATATTTTATCTTTGACAATCAAGTGTTTGCGACATAAAAGAGTAGCAATAGATAATTAGGAACTGTGTTAAGAGTTTGCCGAGTAAAAGTATTGAAAATATTATTACCTTTGCTAATAATAAACGAGTATTGTAATAAAGACAAAAGGAATGGGGAAGACAAAAATAAAAAAAAGAAAAAAACAGCTTTAAAGTACATAATAAAAAACAGTTATTATATATAAGTTCTTATTTAAACGCTTTCCCTTTTATGTAATATCGATGTTTACGAAACATTTTTAAATAAACAAGGTGTTCTCATGTGTAAAGTTTAAGTGTTTACAGTTAAAACCTTCAAATATATGATTCTTTAATAAAAAAAAATACATGTTTCATATCAGACCGATTCGAACGGAACATAAGGGTCAACAGAAGAGAAAGAAAACTGCTTTATCGTGGGACGCCACAGTACCATGAATTTACCTTTAGGAAAGGACTCTAAATCGGCGAGATACACGATCTAGGCAATATTGCTCTAATTAATACCGCTGGGTCGGGAGGGATCATCGATGGAAAACGTACCTCGTCGAGAAGTGTACGTATCTCTCCTTGTATGATCTTGGCTTCCTTTATCACCTCCTCGCTAATGTTGACCAGCTGACCGAACTCGGTGGCGCTAGGCACGCGGAATATGTCGGAATTCGCCGGCCCCTTCAGTACCCTGTGTTGACCTACGACAAACTCTAGTTTTTTCGTCCAGGGATTGATAAAGGACGACCACTCAGTCTCGAGGACGACGTAGCCACCGTTCTGCACCCCGAACCTGTACGGTTTCGATCTGAAGGAGTCACCTTCGAGCCTGATCACCTGTTCAATGATACACGTATAAATATGAATAATCAAAGGAGACAGCGGGCGAAAGGAAAATTTTGATTATTTTGTCTGTCTGTTTTATGTCGTTCGACGATCGGTTCTCAGAACTCGTTTGTTCGCACTGTTTCTGCAGATATTATAAATGTTTCTTTCTTATACTGTTATTTTTTTAATATGTGTTTTTGGTAATTTTTGCTATATCGTTCGTATCTATTATTGTTAATATTACTGTTTTTTTTGTGTCTCAAGCGTATACTCGATCGAAACCTATGATGTCATATTATATATATTTACATATATATATATTTTTTTTTTGGTTGTTCTGGGGCGCATGCTCACAGTCTCATAGATGTCTTTGATGAATGGCAGATCTTCGGGATGGTAGAAGTCAAACAGCGAACGGCCAACCATATCCTGAGGTAGATATCCAAAGTATTGGACTACGTCGGGATCAACATGAGATAAGTGGCACGTCGCGGTGTGGCGGGTCGTGAATATCGCAGATATTATTGTTTCTTCTGGCGCTGCGGATAACGATAATAACAAGGTCGGGGTCATTCACTCACTTGCCAGGGGGTAATACCTTTATGATGAAAGTTTTTAGTCTTTAAGATGGCGCGCGTTAAAAGCAAAGTGTTAAAGGACAGCTACAGTTACGCAGAAAAGCCTGCGCGCGATTTTATTTGTTATCGTGTACTTATCTTTCCGTTTTTTTTTCGTTCCTACTACCGTTTTTGCTTTTTCTATTCTTCTCTCTTCCTTACGTACACACTTTCTCTCTTTCTCTCTCATTCTACGTCTTTCACACTTTCCCACCCCTCATTGTCCCTTTCTCTCGCACCCTTTTTTCACTCCACTGTGTCTGTTTTATACGCACCTTATTCGTTTCGTATAACGAAATTTAAGGATATTTTAACGATTTTTGTACGACATCTTGTGAACAAAAGAATTCTCGGTCACAAATTGAACGCCGGATTCATTTTTCCATGCGAACCTTATAACAGGCTTCTCTGTAGATCTCTACCGAGTCTCAAGTGTGCCACTCGAAAGGTCGAGTCCGGCTAGCGCTCGTTGGATGCAGAAATGGCATACATGACCTACGAAACAAATGGCTGCGTTGTTTGAATAACAGGTGTTTGTGTCTAAGGAAATTCTTTGAGTATGCTACACTCGTTTTATTATTAGCATTCTGTCGAGATAATCTTCGAGACTGTAATTGCTAGACATTAATCCTTAACCCCTTGCCTTACAACATCGTGCTAGGCTCGTGGTGAATATTTCGAAAATTTAAGAAATATTTCTTTAACATAATAAGATTGAAAATCAAGAGTATCAAAATTGCGGTTACTGTTTCATTGTTAAGTTCATCGTGTTATTGACAATTAGCAATTTTAATTAGAAGTTAGCTAACAGCGTGCGTAAGTCATGATACTGTCTTTGTTCTTCGTATAGTACGATAATGAGTTCGCACTGACCTGCCTCAAGTGTATTGTCAAAATGAAGGGTCATTTAAAATTTTTCCATTTACTGTCGAACATCATGTATCACGTACTACAAATATAATAACCTAAGAAGCTTTATTATTAATATTATAAATTTACCAGTTTGTTATTTAACGTTTTGATTAAATCATAAAATTTTGTTTCATTATCAAGTAATTCACTGAAAAAATAGAAAACATACGAATTTTTTGGTCCCCTTATTTACAAATAAATGAAAAAATGTATTTAAATATACATCATTACCCATATTGTAAATTATTGAAAGACTGTAAAATCAAAGAAAATGCTGTTTTTTTCAAATCTAATGCAGCCTGTTAAATAATTAAATGAATTTTTTTACTGACACTTAATCAGTTAACTGCATTTGACAAGTATACACATTATCTTAAAGCTTGAAATTTTTTCAACGATGAATTATTTATTTTTTCAGATAAATATGTAATTCTTCCTTGTTGTTTTTGGTTTTTCATTAAAATTAGGGTTAAGAGCGATACCCAACGAAGGCTAGCGGAATTCAACCTGAAATCGCTCCTCAACTAGATGGAGCAAAGCAGTCAAACACAGGAGAAGTTATCGAAGAAATAGTATCTCTCTGATTACAGGCGTTAATGTCAAGGATAAAGCGTTAAGTGGAAAAGTATTGTGGCTAAAAAAACTTTGAAAGCAGTTGAATCACTTAGGGGAAAGTAGGGTCAAATGAGACGCTTTTCTTTGCATCGTAATAACAAAGAATCTGGGATAATAAACATATTTTATATAAACTTTCTTGGAAGTTTTCAGTAGATTTTTGGCTATAAGAAAATAAAACAATTTTTTAATAATAATATTTAGTTACGCAAAAATGGTAGGTAAAACGGAACACTCATGTAAAATCATACAAAAATACAAAATCTATACTTATACTAAATCAGAATTGCTAACTGAATATATGTAATTGTTAGCTGATATAAATAAACTAGAAATATATATGATTTTATGAATAAAAATCACAAAAAAGTGTGTCATCTTCTTTTTCTGCACTGGTGCAATCAAATTGGTCAGTTTTTATCTCATCTTCGATTCTAATTTGTTATATTACGATTGTGTTGATGTTATAATACGATTACACGTAATCAATTAAAATTAAATACAAAGCATATAAATAGGGACTCCTGTTGCCCCTGTGCTTAAATATTCCGTTTTGCCCTGCGCATTATAATTTAGAAAAGCATTTAAAATTTCCAGTTTGGCATGAGATAAAGAAACAACTTGAGTGTCAAACATACAGCTTAGGGAACATAGAATCCAGTATTGCAGTTATCTCGTTCAATTTTTTTATCGAAAGGTGAAAGAAAATGCTTCAACCATGTGTGTAACGTCAAAACTTTTTCATTGAATATCTTTCCTGTGCTTTTAATCGAAAAATAACTCATACGCTGCTCTGCAGTCAACCTCAAACTATGTCGAAGACTTATTAGAACCATGTTATGCGATATCAATTTGATACGAACTCTTTATCCATAAAAAACGTTACTATCAATTTTTCCTGTCCGGTCCGTTTTACCTTACTTTGCCCTATGTCTCCATTTTACTCAGTTGTGTAACATTTTTCTTCTATGTTCCCTTTAAATGTTCAACTCTAAACCAAGAGTCAAAATGAAAACATACAGTCAACGAGAGAAAGAGAAACGTTTCAAAGAATTTACGTTGCGTTAAGTTGCGTTCTCTTCCACGTTCGCTTCCATCGGAACACACAATGAACACTACTTTAACGATGAAATCGAAATCGTCTCTGTTCCCTAACAAGCAAAGCGTGTTAATAAGCTATCACGTGTACACGAAGAATGATGAATGCGTTCTTGTTACAGTGTGCTTTCGTTTGAAATGAACAATCGAAACAGTGGTCTCCAAACTGAACGAAAACGAAAAACTGGCCAGGTGACGAAAAAAACGAATAAATGAAAAGACGACAAAAGAAAATGGCAGAGTATCAAACATCGTCGCGGTTTTCGAGTAAAACAAATTCTAATTTAATACAAGTTACCTTTGGTATAAGGCACGTTGCCATGGAAACCACCGAGTCATTTAAGTTACCTTTGAGGAGATTGGACTAACAAAATGACTCGATTTCGTCCATTTTCAAGACTGATGATCGTCTCGTGAATAGATCGAACGGACAATTTCGACAGAGATCCTCGTATCGTTTTACGCTAAGTGAAATAGAATTGGATCGAATCTTTTTGTCAGTTGACTCTCCTCGAGGATCTTCAACCATACTACCTTTATATGCAGAATGAACGGGTTGGGCAGTAACCACCAGGAACATGGCTTTGTGTTGTTGTTCGGTCGCGCGGTCTCGAAAGTCTCTGAACGACATAGTCAAGTGAAACGGCAGATACAGATTCGACCTTGCTTCCTTGTGCTGACTGCTTGTCTGGTAAATCGTGGATTTTGTGTATTTCCGGAGACCGCAGAATAAACTTGCTCTTCTGCCGTTGATACCTGGGGATGCACAGATGATTCACAATGCTCGTGAAAATTCAAAGGACATAAAAATATCGTGTAAAAAGATTAACGTTTTGTAGACGAATGAAAACATACAGAATTGAAAGTAACAACTGAATAATTTAATTATTTAAATAGCAATATACTTTTGTATGGTTTTTGCCTTTGTTAGTGTTTTTAGATATTAATATGTAACTTAGTTTTCTGTGGAAGAGATTTTCAAGCATTCTTTTAAATTTTCGTTTTTAAAGGCTTAATTTATCGTGTAGTCGTAAGTACCGTATAATAATATATTATTTTATTTGCAGTTCATACGCATTAATCATTGGAGTACCAATGATTCAACAATCCTTCAAAGCATTGCGTTGGATCATGACTGATTCATATACATCCTTCGTTCACATTTTTTAATTTTCTTTTATCAATTTATTATTCATGGTGACTTTCCTTTGCTTATAATATTGAATATTTTAAACTGTAAAATTTCTTCAGACAATTATAAATGAACAAATTTATTTAGCTACAATAATAAAATTATAACAATATCCTTTTATATGTCCATTAGTATGAAACTGACATTTACACGAGTTTATGTTTTCAGAGACTAATTATCGAAATCGGAAAGTAAATCAGATTTCTGTATTATTGAATTTGTAAAAATAAAGTGAAAATGGTCTTGTCTATTGTTATTCTATTTTTTAAATTATTGTACATTCGCATACTTTAAAAAGAAAACAAACATTCCAGGAATTGTACGTTGTACTCAGCTTTATACAAATTAAATCAAGGATACTCAAACTTAATAAACTGTACTCCTACGTAACTAATTAATATACAAGTCATAAAGGCAAATAGCCAATACCTTGCAATTGAAATAATTAATCCGAGTTAAAAATAAACTAATTGCTCAATTGTCTTTTTCACGGAAATTGAAATTAATTGAAATTACTTAAATAATAATTACACATTTCGTTATATCTAGATAAATAGATATGTAAATAGGTCATTTAATATTTAAAAAAAATGTCTGTTTTAAAAAGTTGACACGTTAAAACTGATATGTTACACAATATGTTTTTAATAATAATATATTTGTTATTATAATATGAAATCTACAAAGTTTAACAGTGAATAATGATAATAATAGAATTCAGTGATATAAATATGAACAACGAATTTTATGCACAGAGACAAATAGAAGTGCAGAGAACATAAAACAAACAAATCTTCATAAGAATTTTAGAATGCTGTTATTTAATGTTCAACTTATTGAAACCCTGAAGAAAAGAAATCTGTTTCTAGTAACCTATATATATTAATATAATAGTCATCAATCTTCAAATTTATCATATAATCACATTGGCTGCGGATTTGTATGCATTTCCAGAGAATGTAAAAGTGAAAAATTGCGCACGATACGAAAGAATATAAAAGATATTAAAAATACAGTATATTTTACAATATTTATTAAAACATACCATTTTTTATCATAAATATATTATACCGGGAAGTTCTGTCCGACAATGTCATCTCAAGTTTCCGAAAAAGAGTTATTCTACAAAAATGGAATCAACAAATTAACATCACGCTGGGAAGAGGCCATTAGTAACCATAGAAGTTATATTATTCAGTAAATATTAATAAACCTATTGAAAACGTATTATTTCCCTTCAATTAGAAAACGAACAGAATTTTCCGGTAGATATAATATCTTTAAACATTTGAATTTTCATAAAAATCCGTAGTCTACATGTAATCATTCCAAATACAACAAACTTGAAATTACAAGAAAGTTCATTTCGTACCTTTCGGTCTGTCTTCCTGCGGCGAGACTATTCCACTAGTGATCTGATCTGCCAACGTCCCCTTATCTTTCGGGTGGACGTAGTCGATGAACGACCGACCGATCCACGCTTCCTTTGGATATCCTAGAGCTGTACATATCGAGGGAGTTGTGTACAACACGAGGCCATCATGCATCGAAATCACTGCACAAAATCCCTCCTATAGGGTACAAGATAAATGTGTTAGATCTGTTACACGGCAGTCGCGTACGATCAAATAAACCATAAAACCGGTATTAGCACGTAGATGACACTGAATCTATGCCATCAAGATTGTTACCAACAGATACAAAATTTCGACAACCGGTTTTTCGTTAATTTTCTATTTTCTATATATATTTATTTTTGTCGTTCAACATAGCTTGTAGAGCAAACTCGTCACTACTTTGCTCTCGTTGACAACGCACCGCGCTGCGCGGCGAAATATGCTGATTTCCGCGCGACATTATAAAATTACAAACTTTCAAGATCGATTTCCCGTGGGAAGTGCCACACGTGTTATCACTTTCACAGAACTTACGTTCGTTGAATATGACACACCATGCACGGAGGAAAGAGCTTTATCTTAACGTGTCGGAACTTCGAACCGGAAATGCACCACTTTGACTTATAGCCTCCTTGGTTTGTCAAATTATGAATAATAAATATAAATTCATGGAAAATATGAGAATGAGGCGGATAAAATGAACTTAACGTGACTTCAAAGGAAAATCTATGTCACGTGTTGTATTTCTTCTTAATTAATGCGCGTATATTATATATACATACTATAATATGTTATATTATAATATAAATATATAACATATTAGCAGCATTAATCTGATTAGTACAGTTTCACCTAGTTAATATTCTAAATCAATATCTCGTTATTATTGTTTGGTGGGAAAGTAATTTCTTATTGTATGTTCCTATACACGAAGCTCTCTGACATGTATCGTTCATATCTTTATTTAAATAAGAAAGTAAATAAATAGACAGGTGACATTACATGGTTTACAAAATAAACACACAAAAATTATTGTCAAAGAAAACTAACTGTCCCACCAATGATATGAAACTACATAGAAAAGTTACATTTAAAATAATATTAAAATAAGTACTGTATGGTGGTTAGTGGTTACTGTGACTAGATTCGACAAACCTCCTTTCTCCATGCATTAACGTTCGCTGGACCGTTACAAACAACAATGCTACCGTGTTAAGTAACCAAAAAACCGTAATAGATTGTAGACCGTTTAAAGAAATTCGTGACTACGTAGGCATTACCAAGCGGCCGGGCCAAGAGTTGTAAATAGGTAGCGTGATGCAGCACCGAGCATGCCCGATCCTGGACCTCCCTGAAAAGGAGAGCCTCGATCGACCACGATCGAGCGCGTCTCGAATGACATAATTACTATGTCTTGTCTCTACGTGTGCCTTCTACCACAGTTATTCTGGTTATTTCGTGTTTTATCCGTTCGTTTTGTTTTGTTTTGTTTGCATTCGTAATAAATACTAACATTGGCTTGGGAGGTAGAATCATCCATCGGATTCGTACGTGAAGCAAGTCCTGCTTCCGGATCAGTGACGGTATCGCCATTGTGCTCGCCGGGATCCGTTGCATCCACCAATTCTACAGTGGCTACTTCTTCTTGTACAACACCCAACAAAAATTCTCGTCGTTATATTACGCTCCTTTTTTGGATACACCTGCCCATGTTTTGCTGATGGGTTTGTTCAATGGGAATGGTTTCATACGCAAGAAGCATGATCACGGTCTCCAAGACATTCCATGGACGTCCCAGGTTTGAGGAAGAGGGAAGGAAATTGCATCAGTTTTGATTTTGAAGGGTTGCTTTATTATAGTTGGATTAGACTGCTATATTTGACCGTTTGAGGTGTATTTGAAAGTATAATGAAATAACAGGTACAGTTAGTATCAAAATATAAAGGACAATTGTTTTAAGCAGTAAAGACATACTTCACAAGAAGATATTAATTTTTGTTTTAGTTAGACTCAAATTATGGATCTCTTTCATGGAAAGTGTACAAACTATATGTTTAAATAAACAGGTAGTTTATTATAATATCCAAAGACTATTTAATACTTTTATAAATATTAGTAACTTAATATATTAAATATTAAACATTGCAGAAACTGATTTACAAATACTCACAAATAAAATGATATATATTTTGTAAAATAAATGGGTAGTAAAAATCATTTGAGAAAGGCTGTAAAACTATTTAAACAAAGGGCATTTACATTTTCTATAGTAGAAGTTTTAAATCTTTATTTAAAAAAATGAAATTCAGATTCACATTTACCGTTTAAAACCTATAAGAATCATTGCTAGATCAGAAAATATAAGTTGAAGATCTTTTCATAGAATTCATGTTCATTTATAGGAAAGTTGAAATCTTACATGATTGTTATCAACTAGGAAAATAGGAACATAGTTTATGTTAATATATAATTAAATATAAAATCGTCATTGCGGAGAGGAAATATTGTTTTTTAAAATAGAATTAAATATAATATCTTTGGTGAAAGAAATTATTAAAGGTATAGGAGCGTCCAAGAAACGTGTATTTATAACTATTTTGGACCGAGAAGATCAATTATTAAATCGGTAAGATCTTTGTAATATAGTCGGAAAGTGGAAAAGCAAATTGATCTATAAGCTCTCCCTAATCTAGTGTTCAACTTATGAATTGAGCAACCTAATACCAATTTGTCAATTGAAGTGTTGTTTCATAAATAATGTAGTTTCTGACCTGATTTAAATAAATAAAATAATAGTAACTTTTTCTACGAAAATAGAATTATAAAAAAAAATATAATCGGTATATTGAAGGTTAATACTAATACGTGACACATTTTTTAAATATTTTTAATTAATTAGTATTGATTTAAAATGTTCCATGGGGTATCAGAGACTATTTTAGAATTAAAATTAACTCTAGAAACGCACTCTGGATTGCTTTCAATACTGACGAAAGCGAATTTTACACTAAATATGTTATTGGTACTTAAATTTGCAGAATTAGTTAAGATGCATAGATTAACTGAACAATAAGAGATTCTGCGTGGAAAAATAAGTAAACAATGTAGAATGAAATATTTTCGTAGATGGCTTTGTAATTAAGAAAATCGAGCGAGAATATAATGCATGCTTTTCGGCACGCCTGGCCACTGCTTGATATTTCTACTTACATTGAATACAGCGGTGTGCTACCACTTGTCGTCGTGCAGTCTGATCATCTTTCAACCATTAATTTATATTAAATTGTTATAAGAAATTGTTATAATAGCAGTATTCCACTACAAATATTCATAAATATTCATATAAAAATAATCAATAATAGAGAGACACACGTGAAAAATTGATTTCACATACAAACTGTATTTATTCTACATATTTTTTCAATGCATAATCGTTCTTAAACAAAAATTAATTTATTTTTAGAACATTTGTAGTTTCGTTACGAAACCGACAATTTTTTCTTATCCCAATTTTTGTGTATCTCAGAAAATATTTTAAATGCACACTTGTACTGCAAAAGTAAAATATTTACTCTTCGTTATTTATATTAAATTGTCTTATTTTCTGAAATTTCGATTCGTCCATCGTACATAAAGATTTTTATATTCCATTCAGCTATTATAAATTTATCTTTTCCCGGAACTGCGACATAGTGTTAAGGACTACTTTATGACTGTGGCGCGACCTAACCAGACAAATATTTGTATCTTTAAATCAATTGAAATGTTAGAAGCAATAAAGGACAGATGTATGTATTTTCAGTAAGATGATTTTTGAGGATACGGTAGCAACACACTTTACATTTAACAAAATGTATTTTTAAAAATATAATTTCAATATTCTTAATATTGTAAAAGAACACAACATTTTTATCTTTTATATTTTTTATATAGATCATAATTATAACTAATATATCCTTTTATTATTACTTAACATGTCAATGTCGTTATATAGTATTAACATTCGATAAAAAGAACGTCGATAATAATTTTTACATTGCTTAACACTTCAATAACCTGTCACTGATATACAGCACTGATATATATATATACTCACTAAAATGTATATTCTTTCGTTCTTGAAAATTTTATCAACTGGATGATTCTCAGACTTTCGAATAATTCAATTTTCTATCTTTTTACGCTGTTTTCCAAGAATCGGCATTTTTATATTCATCCCTTATTGCCGTAATACCTCAATTGTTATTCATTATAATTGTTGTCTACGGTTACTTAATATCTCAATTTCCCTGAATAATATATTGGGGTTTGAATAAGATTCTGGATTACAACATTTTAATTAGATTACATACAAATACATGTGCGTGTCCAGAGTTAATTAGAAGAGCTGTTATGAGACAATATCTAGAAGAGATATATCTACTAACATTAGTATTTGTTGTATTACCCACCCTTCCTAAACAGATCTTCCCGATTTAATATAGCTAGGAGACGTAATCTGCTGCATGAGTAATGAATCTATGGAGGATGAAAGAAGATTCAAGGTTTCCTTAGTCCAATATGACGATACACGACGGGGACAATATACTTGAAGCCTCAAAGGCCTCCCAGAAGACGCAACAGAATGGGTAATAGAACTATTAGGCGCCAGATTTTTACACATACATAGCTTTTAGAAGCTGTCAACATATTACAAAATTGAAATACTCGTAGAATCACTCTTTTTTCAAAATTAAAATCTTGAAACTATTAACCCTGGAAAGTCTAAGGAGTAGCTATCTCAAATCAGTTCTAAAATATTAGAAATATGTTATTTACCTCGCCTAAAATATTTATAAATAATAATCTATTATCTTCTTTGTTTTTAAGTTTGATATGAAAAGATCATTTTACCTGAACTTTTCGATAAAGATACTAAAAGTCAATTTGACAAACACGACTAACAAAAATCTAAAAGTTCAACGATAAAATTCGAATGTGAACAGTTTGAAAAGAATCATTAAAAAAAGATTAAAATTTCCTCGATTCCTCAATTCTTCATTTCTTAAAAAGAATCAAAAGGTGTAGTCTCAAAAACAAGTCTTTCCAGAATTAACATAAAAAATGTATCAATGTACAAAATGAATTCAATCTGCCACATCTTCGCAACTGTTGTCAATAGAACGTTGTACTTGCATAAAAATCAGCCTAATATATAAAACGTGCCACGTTGACGCACCGGGGGTTGCTACCAAGACAATTTTTTCTTCTCGGCTCTCGTAACGCAGAATCGTTGACCGTTACGTCGGCACACAGTGCACAGGCCCGTGTTATCAGCCCTTGCTTACGATCTTATCACGATCTAATCGCCTCACGCCGGCTACCGATGCACCGGTGCATTCGTTATTACTTGTTTACACCAACCGAACAAATATATTCGTTTATTGTCTGACAGAGAAAACACGTCTGCTATCCTGAAAGCTAAAAAATCAAGAGAAGGAACCGACTGAATACGACTGAGTGAGAACGAAGTTGGCGGCACTATGAATTTTATTATTCTATGCCAACGTTTACTTTAAAGCATAACAATTGATAATAGATAAATAACATTTAATTAGGGCTTAAAACAACTGAATGCCATTTGTATTTATTAAATTTTGTTCAAAATCTTCACATGATATTAAAAGGAAGAGTTTAAGTTTCTAAAGAGTGCTCATATCAACAACGTATGTATGTGAATTCAGACCGTCTACGAACCATTAAATCGTCGCGGGGACGTGTGACGATACAAACTATAGCAAACGGAACGCGACGTTCATCGTGTCTCTACGTAACCGATCTATTCTTGCGCTACCGCATATCCTGTTGCAGGACGCGATGTGCACGCGTTGAGGCTCGTAATCAGCAAATCAGGTCCGGGGTTAGAGGGGTTCGTAACGGCCGACGAAAAAAGACCGTACGGTGAGAATTGGACGCTCGATACGGATTATTAAAAATTATGTAAATAATTACGTAAATCAATGTGGCGCTTATCGATGTTATATAAAACACGGCTGGATCCGCGCGCCATAGCTATAGTTGGACCGATTGGTAGCGACAAGAGAGGCTGAGAGAGGACGAAGGATGCAGAACGATAGATAAATAGATAGACAGAGAAAGAGAAAAGGAGAGAGAGGCTCGAACCTGCCCTTTATCCGCGGAACAGTACCGATCCGATTATATAAAATGAATACATTGAAAATCTTAAAAATATTTCGGCTATTGGTCTCACATGCCAGATATTCTTATGCAAAATCAAACAGAGGACATAAGTACGTAAAATGCACTCCTAATATGAAATTCGATCGTATAAACAATTTGTCCCTTTTATCGCTTCTACGAATCTGTAACAAAAACAACAGCACTAGGGTCTAAGGGAGGCTAGTACAAGATGTTCTGGTTAATTTTTAAACTCGGAATTTACGATTTAAGTGTTTCAAGATATCTCCGCGATAATGTAAGACCATGCGTGGCTATGGCAAGGCAAAAGAGATATCGGAACTAAAATGGAAACTTATTCCATACCCACTATATTTCCCAGATCTGACACCAACGGATTTTCACCTCCTCCGAGCCTTTTAAAACAATTTAAATGGAAAAGATTTTTTACATTTTTAAGCTTTTATGATAGTTTTAACAATAAATTTGGAGATTTTTATGAAAAGGGAATACTATAACTACTGCAGAAATGGGCAACTGTTATAAATAACGATGAAAAATATGTAGTTTAAGGTAAACACAAAATGGTTCCAAAAATCGAATTTGTAAGCGATACATTGCAACAGACAGCATTTACGTAGCAATCTATGTATTTCATGTGTTCTATTGTTGATATGTTTGTGTTCATAGAGAGTAATTCATTATTCGTTGATGACGTTTTTAAACGCTTTCATCATTCTGTTATTGCGTGACCTTAAATGTTTCGAAGGGAATAACCGTTATAATACGATCAAATATATATAATAGCGGCAAAACTACAGAGTAATGACACACGAAGAGACATGTCTGTTGAGATAAACTCTTGAAAGAAAAGAATGTATTAAGATATCTCAGATAGCATTCGGAATAACTTCTATGGTTATTGTACCTATTGTTTTATACGTAAGAGAGATTCAATGACTAGACTCTAGAGGTAGAACGATAAGAGGTAATCGTTGATCAAGGCGATAGGTACTTTTACGATTTGAATCGTTTCTTCTTGCTTAGTTTTTTTTAATGCTGTATGTATTGTGCAGAGCTTCTTGGTAATTGCGTTGATATTCGATTTGTAGGAACACGTGCTCACAGTATCAATGCTGAAAAACTGAAATTGATACTGCTGCGTGCAATTTTTATGAATGGTTATCTACAAAGTCTTTCAACGATGAATTATTTATTTTTCAGGTAAACATGTAATTTTTTTCATTACACGCAAAACGAGAGATTTTTTAAACTAAATTCCAAAGTTAATAGATTAACTTTAATGTTGTTATCCCGACGATTTTACGTAATACGCGTTGACCACGAAGAGAGTTGTTTAACATTTCCCCATTTCCCCCTGCCTCATGTAACGCAAGATTGGTATAGCTCGTAACATATCTTCAGATTTTCAAAAAAATAAGAATAATCAAAAGCTAAAGACTCGAATAGAAAAAGAAAGTAGACCATACATAATTAAATTCCGGATAGAGCTGAGATTAATTGCCAGGGTAGCAAAAGATATCACAGAACCGTTCGAGTACCTTCTTCCTTCCATAAATGATTTACGTATTGCAAAATTCTTTTATCTGCGTAGTGGATCAACGAACCCGAGCATCTTTGAGATCCACCGAACCTGCATTCGTTCTTGTGAAACCCGAAAAACACTCAGGGTTAGACTGTCGAATGAAATTCAGCTTCAGTCAAAAATATTGGGGGTTCGTTGGACTAAGTTAACCATGAAAAGGGTAGGTAAGGGTTGGCGTTGGCGGAGTGGGTCGTTCGAAGCCATTGGGCCGTGAAATAAGCGAAACCTAACTGCAGGAAAGAATGCACGAAACCAAATTGTTACATAAAACTATCGATCGCCGTCTTTTGCTCGGAAGGATTCTTTTCCCGCTAAATTGCCAACGGTCGTATTCGAATGTTGCCAGTCGTCGAGTTCCGCGACTGCGAAAAATTGAATTCTCCCAGTCAGCGAAATCCGCTGTACAAACGAAAGGAATTCGACTCGATCTTTCTAGAAGAAAAAACTCGACACTTCTAAAAGTAAGATTCTCGATCTTTCAAAAAGAAGAGGTTCGATTCTTTTTTTCTCAGGGAAAGAATTTAATCACTCCTTCTCGCAAATTTTACGGCAATCATTTACGTGCTTGTGAAATGTTCGAGTTTCTAAACGCATGTCCAACTGAATGGTAACCAAGAAATTTCGAAACCCCTGAATAGTTAACGTGCACTTCTTCCCGGCGGATTTCTAGATCGCAACCAACCTGGTTTCTTTTCGAGTATAGTTTTCAACGGGACGACGGTATTATAGGACACTGCCTCCGGCGGCGTGCCGGCGCTTTTCAAGGCAATATCTGCCTCAGCGTTTACAGCCAAAATCGTCTTCGACTTCTTCTTCTTGTGTTCTTTATCCTTTCTTTTGCTGATTGGCTGCGGTAGGGCTTCATTGCTATGTGTCATATAGACATTACATGTACATAATGCAAAGTAATATCTAATATTATCTATTGGACAGATATCCAAATAATTAGTGCATACATTTGGGGGGAGGGTCATTATGGGAGGTGTAATTCAGGATGATGCGTTAGATAGAGCTAACTCATAGAGGACATTATTTTCTTTGGAAACTTGCCTAACCTTGTTTCTGTTTTTTGGTTAGGAATCTGAGGATTAGGTAGACACTTTCATTCCGACAAATAAAGCAATCGCGATCAGTGACATTAACTTATAATAAGCTCCGTCGTCATTGTGGTATATAAGGTACTTTATATAAAATAAGACGTCTGAAGGTCCCCTTCAATTGTGATGATCTAAAGAAAATATTATGTGCAGTTCAAATAGTTTTATTTTAATATTAATACCAACAATTTTACTTTTGTTCCATTACTTTATTTCGACAGCATTAAAAATAATGAATAAAAATAAAAATATTCCGACACAATTACTGTCGTTCCAACATTACTCTGTTTGCTTTTTTCTGTTGTGCATTGTAACTGACATTTAAATTCAATTATTCTATAGTATGAAATAATAAAGTGTAATTATCTAACAACTTATTTTTTGCGTCATCACTATTGAAAGAGATATTTACATGGCTTATTGTAAATAAAACATCCCGTAATCAGGGTGAGCAAGACGGGTGGTACAATCAGTTGTACACAAAACTGTTCTATTTGCAAATATAATTCAACGTATGCGATAAAATTTTATCATATAATGCAACATTTTCGGGGCAATCAAATTCCACAATTTGTCAAGTACACATGCTATTGAATACAAATTCTAGTAATTAATGTGTCCTTATTGTTTACTTATTGTTCCTATCTCCCATGATTACAAATGCATGTGTAATAAGCAAATTATCGAAGTCGATTATTTTGAATACAAAGCATCATCAGACAAAATGTTATTCCAGTTCCTCAACTTATTTTTACGTGTACAATGACTTCCTACGTTATTGGATCACCCACCAGGAACACCCTTCCTGTTCATCAAACAGTTAAATCCGAAAACTTGTAACAGAGTAAGTTTAATATTTCCAGCAGAGTTTTCGATAAAACTTCAAGTAACAATTAAGGAACTTCTAACTGGTTTGTATCAGTTTAACACGTTGAAACGATATTTCGGTATAACATTATCCCGTTAGCATCGCATGACTTAAAAGAGCCCGTGAGACGTTACAGAGCAGGAAACTGATTTCATCTTCTTCCTAATGGCTACATGTCAGAAGATAAAAAACGAGAATATTAACCCGTTTACCTAACCATGCTTTCTCTCGCACGCACGAGACCTTACGGAGGGAAACCGTCGTATTATGCACGAAAGATATACTGATAATAGCTTCACTTACTAATCAAATGAAAAAAACATTACAGAAAAGTTTTACCAGCCATACATAAGGTCTCGCTATCTTTTATTTCTTCCCACTCGTTCATCATTTCTTTTTCTCAAAATTTCTTTCGCTGCTCAACACGGTGGGAATAGAAATAACTCACTACTAAGGTTATCGAAATACGATGCTAAGGAGGTAACGCCGCACGAACCATCCATTCTCGTCGTTAAGAATACAAACATTTATCCATTTGCTCGTACACTCATTATTCGAACAAATGATTCACCACAAAACACGTTTAACGGACCGCAAGTGTCGCTGTTTGGAATTTCAATTTCTTTTCCTGAGAACACAACGACGTCGGTCATCGGTGGGCACGTGGCAATCAACGTGTCAAGCTACGAACTGCGGAAAATTTTATTGAGCGACACTCTCGGACGCTCCGTAATGGGAGTGTATCGTCGATCTACGTGCGCGCTACGATAACGTGATAGACGGTGCGTTGATATGCTTCATACACTTTCGCTGAATTGCGATATGAAATCGCATTGTGTAAACGTTCTAAAAATATCCTCGCTTTTCGCCGAGTCGGCATACGGGGGACGTTGTTGGACATGCATGCGAACGCGAGCCCCGGGTTTGAACGTTACATAAAAGCTCGATTCGATGGGAAGAAAGTTTCGTCGGCTTCCAACGATCGCGCGACATAGGTAATACACACGGAAGTATGGTAGTACAGATCGTAGGAGTATAAATTCGACCCCGGGGCGAACCGTGAGATAACTTTCTCCAGGAAAAGCACGGATGGCAAAAATATCGAGAGTAACCGTCGTTTCTGAGCTAGTCGTGATCACTTTAGTTATGCAACACCGAGAAAGTGCATTTCTCTAACGATCACTGCGAACTTTCTCTATGAGATAATCGTATCTTCGTGACATAATCGTTTCCTTATTTGACAAAGGATCTCTAATGGTAACACATTACTTTTCACGGATTACGTGTACCATAATGAGATATGCTCAATAAGTTATAGGATTTTGTAGAAATTTATTGCTATGGATTATTAATGAGTACACTGAAACTATTATATTTTATATTATATATTGTAGTATTATATAATTAAAATAAAGATATTGAATCCTTAATTGATAACATGATCATAAATGATTCTAATTTTTTCTTTAGGCATTATCAATTAAAAAATTTGATCTGTTTACAAAGTTTCTTGGCATTTCAGAGACCCCCCGTCCCAAAACATATTGCAATCGAAATTAATAGCAGCAGAAATATAAGTAAACTGTAGCAATATTTCAATTGGTGATCTTTGATAGTTTACGATAGATAAAATGCAAAAGTAAAAAAATAAAGAAACAAATAAAGATAGAAATGATTTAAATTAATGAAACAATTCTAAAAATAGCTAAACAGCTAAAATTGTGTTTCAATTCATTTTCCTCTTAAATAGACATTGTCTCCATTAAATAGGCATTGTTTCTCGATTACTATTCCGAGATTAGTCGGTTTATTCACATTTTGTTTGCATTCAGTCCTATTTTCATTGCTCATTCCAACAACGTCTATGACCAGAATAGAACAATGTGAATGCCGTTCCATTCAAATCTTCCGGAAATACATAAATGTATTAAGGTTGATTATTGTAAGGGACACTGCTCGGAATTGCCAAGTAACCTTGATCCGGGTAAGACACGCGACAAATCAGAGGCTTGACACGTCGATCGGAGAAAATTTCTGCGATGCAAGCGCATCGACGTGAGAGCGAGTGAACGAGGCGCGTCATTTGGCAAACGTTTCAGTTGTACCAGTAGTAGTCGCCGTTTTTAATCATACTGCCTGACTGGTAGAAAATAGTATTTTCTTTAATCCCTGAATAATAATGACCAACAATCGAATCTGACATCTTTATTCTTTGAATAGACACTTTTTATCTGTATTCCATTAGAATATTCTTCTTTCTAATTTATTTAAGAAATATTTGTGACTTTACTAGTTGAAAAAATGATATTAAAATGATATTCTGATAATATAATATTCGTATATTCAATCATATGCTGATGGTATTGACATTTTCTCAATTATTGATAACAGATCTAACAATTTTCCTTTGAATAAAAGTTATAAGAGAAATTACTTCATTATTTTGCTCGGTGATTTATGCTTGTTATTTACTAGTGTAAGTAAAAAATTCTGTGATATGCTGTTTACGTTTAAACGTTGCGTTTAAAATGCCCCTTAAATTACGTAAAATGATAACATGTACAAAGCATTTGCGTAAACTGTTTGAATGAAACCTTTAGCTTTATTAACAGTATATTTCTTTCACTGATTTTCTATAAATTTTCTATAAAGTAGGATCTAGAATTATATAATAATATGTAATATATTTATTTCAAGAATAACATTTTCTAAATTTTCCATAAATTAGAAATTAGAATTACATAAATGACAGAAGATAAAAATAAAGTAACGATATCTAAGTTTAGTTTCATTATGCAAGCGGGTTTTTACTTTACTATCTGAAATAACTAAAAGTGCGGAACTTCGTATCGTTACAGATAAATTTAGTTACTTTGTGTTTGGGAAATAAAATAACACTACGTTAAATTTCGATTAATTAAATTTTGTATTTTTGTTTATGTTACGAACTGTTTTTATCACATTTTGCATTATTTTACTTGAATTTACTAAACATCGACGTTTCTATCTCTCTCTTTAATTTATGGCCACTGACTGACAAGATTTGTCCAAAAGAAACTGGAAGATCCAATACAGAATGAATTATTTGATTCTATCACCTTAAGCTATTGACTCACCCTGCATACAGTGAATTGAGGTAGGTCATATAACTTTTTAACCGAGTGAGTTCTCGACAACAAATATTCATACAAACGCAAGTAGACGGAAATTATGACAGTCCAAAACGATGTACCCCACAAAAAGCAAGATAAAAATTGTATTAAATAAAAAAATAAGAAATAATCCGATTAACACATTAAAAGTAAATGTTAAAATAAAAGTAACGTATTAATGCAAACCACATTGTTAATTATGGGATACATGAACTTTCTTTGCTTAATTTTTATTTCAATTTAGAAAATTCCAATAATGCATCCAAATACGCGCAACATCTAAAAAATGATCAACCATCTGTAATCAACCATAAAGCAGTAACCCCCTTATTTAACAATTCCAAATCATATTTCATAAAGCTAACAACCCAAAAATTACTCAAATGAAGGTATCAAAAGAATATAACAAAAAAAATGTATTCCCAGTATTCCTTACGGTATACTCATTTTTATAATTATAGAACGTGGTAACTGTCGGTTACAAAACATTCATTAACACGTGGACTGCCACGAGAATCTCCAGCGTTCTAAGTATCGCTCATTTTTTCGCAGCGAAGATAAACAGAAACAATGATTAATTATATAGTAGGAGAATTCTTAAATTGTTCCATTATCTAGTTACTTACACCATTAAACATTTTTATCCGACATCAATCACCTTACATCTCGTACTCAGTTTCAAGTAATTCTGAGACGCTAATCATCGGTGGCCGGCATGGCAGTCAACACATTAAGCAAATAAAATCTACTTCCACCGAACAAATTAAATTAAAAAACAGAAAAAAATCATTCCAAAACGTAATCTCCTGCGCTCGAACAGAACATCTGCAGGAAACAGAGTAACAGGAAACAGAACAACGGACATAATGTCCGCGGCTAATGGTATTTTCCCGTAAAGAATGCCTATTGCGTGAAAAAATAGATCTTCCAGACAGTACTTGCGGATACGCCGCCGGTTTATTATTACAACGCCGCGTAGCATCCGGATTATGTAACGGCGCATGGTCGGGGATATCTCATGCCACGTAGGCCGACGCCGATGGCGACACTGAAGGCACGTGGCACGGCACATGCACCAATGTTTACAGCGAACGGAACAGCGCAGAGCATTGGTCCGTCGCGGTCGCCCATGTGCGGCGGAGCCGCCTCCTCAGTCGACCACGAACGGTTTTCTCTCTCGTGTCGATGCGAAAAATTCGCGCGCGTTCCGTGTGTCACCTTCACAATCGCCTGGTATTTAATTATAGAACACGACTGGAGCGTTAGTCACACGGACGACGCGCGGAACACACACGCGCAGCGCGGCGTGAAAAGGGAACCCGACGTCGGCGACGACACAACGGACATACGTATGCAATCGTCCTATTACGTGGAACACGTCGATGACGACCGTACCGCCCGAGATGAAGAGAAACGACACGATGCTTTCCATAGAACCGATCCGGACGGAGAAACCGCGGGGAAATCCGATCGCGCCGCGGACGATGGCTGAGTCGGCTGTGTTGCGTAATGGCTCTAAATATGGCAACCGTAATTAGATGCAGAATGAAATAATACTCGTGTCTTTCTACAGCAACTGGTTATTCTAACCTTATTCCTGATTGTGGTGCACCAAAATGGCCGCGACGATATACGCGTTCAGGATGGAACGCGGTTCAACCAGCTCGCTCGGGTTCGCATGCAACGTCCGCGCGCAGAACGTATTGTTTACTGGGATCGTGCACACGACGTTGTTCGTTGTTAATTTCTTTTTAAATAGACACTATTCCGTTAAACATGATGCGGATTATTCGTAATTGGATATTGAATTATTTTTCCGAGAGTTTCCTCGAAATTTGATTACCATTTTCGGTTGTGGTGTCGTTTAATGTCACAGGGGAGGTAATGGAGTTGTACGGTGCGTATTGTAATGGATACCGCTCGTGGTTGGACGCTTTGCGAAGTTACCTCTTACGTAAAACTCGCTAGGAGCAAAGAGAATTAAGTTACTTTCCACTGGATACCTTACTCTTAGTGTTCTATGGTCGCGGTTGCGATTAAACTGTGAATTAATTGCGTAACTGGAATCAATGGCCTTTATTAAACAATCATACATCGTGCGATCCTCACAGTCGTAAGTGCGTTCGCCAATTCCGATGAAAACCGTATCGAGGACGCGTTTACGACTTCGAGAATAGCGCGCGAGAACGTGCTGTATGAATATTGAACGTCATCGCGATTGCTTCTATCGTGACTGACTTTTTTTTCATTCATATCTTTCTTTTCTTTTCCTAACCAAATAAGATTAGAATAGTGATTTAAACGGTGTGTTACCTGGATCCAAATGTCGAAGGACGCCTACCACAATAACCGCTACTCTCGGAGCGGTTGCTGTTTCTCGAAATCGAGCTGCCACTGCTGAAACATACATTAATTTAATATTAATTTAAGTATTAGTGATTGTTATTACTTTGCTAAACAACTCCCTTGAGACTGAACAGAATTTAATAAAGATTGATGGATTTCCAACTCCGATATAGCAGATACGATGATAAAAATGTGTTTTTTATTAGTACAGAAGGTACTTGACATGTTGCCAGACACTCATTTTTAAAATATCCAATTTATTGCTAACTATAACTTAATATAACAAGCCGAGACAGGTAGCACTGAACTGGAACTATGAAATTAGATCAATGGAAGGTCTTTTGAATCAGTTCAATTTAGGATTAGAAGCCTCAAATCTAAATCAAGATATAGAAATTGGAATCAGACCGTCGCAAAACATAAAACCCAGGTACCTGATTTAAATTATTCTGAATAGCAGGATCCCAAAACTACTGTAACATTCAGAAATTCTATTGAATTTAGTTCAGAATTGAGGGATCCAACATGAGAAACTCGAAAATCCATGAACACAAGTCAATAAGTTCCAAAATCTGAAACATCAAAGCTAAGAACCAGAAACCCGATTTAAAATCTAATGAGCTTTCCTTAATTCTCTAAATCAGCAGTCGTACATCCACAGAGCCTAGATTGGATATTCCATCAGTCCCAAATTATGTTGTTTCTCTTGATCATTAAATTGATCCTGTTCACGTCTGTACAACCACGACTATATAGACCAGTTTATGTTTCTTGGGTCGATGTTATACTACGTCCAGACTGTCAGTGCTAGGTCAGACCGATTCAACTCTTTCTAGTTTAATTTAGTCCCATTCAAATTTAGTTTATATTTTCCGTTCCTAACGTTAATACGAACAACTCTTCTTTTTTTTAATTAAACCAATTAGAACTTTCCACTTTTGTATTAGCTTATTTGATTTAATTAATTCTAAATTAATTTAAACTTTTCAACTGGTATATCTCACTCTTTTTAACGTTTTCAATTTTTTACAAGAAAGTAGCAAACAGAATTTAACCCTTTCTACTGTCTACTTAATCCTTTGTCCTATAATTTCTTTCATAACTGTATTAAATAATTTAGTAAAAAAAGAAAGAATTTGATGTTTGTTCTGTGTCTTTAAATAGTTTACTTTAAATAGATTACGTTTACTTTAAATAGTAAAAATTAATAATAGACAAATAATATCCTATTTATATGAAAAATAAATAAATAATATTTACGAGGTAAAAAAGAAAATCACCGAAACATTACTAACTGAACAAACTTCCGCAAAATTGTTCGCGTTCATTTTGTTTCGTGTATGTACACTCGTTCCTCAATTTACGAGACTCTTTTTTCACGCGAGTCTCACCGAGAACACCGAATAAAATGTACTTTTGTTTTCCCAGATGTCATTATTACTTTTTTGTTAAACCATGTGGAACAAATTCGTATTTCTAAAACTTATACCAGCTTTTCTTTTCAATATTTTGTTTTCTCTTGTACCGACAGTCTTTATTTACGCGATAATCAATCGCGTAAAACGAATCTACGTGGAACGGATTTTCGTGTAAATCCAGAGCCAAGTGTACATCCTACGATTGAATCGGCATCCTAGACCGATGGCTGCATGGCGGTAGCAAAGAGCGAGATTGCAATGGCGCATTTCTCGAACGGCAAGAACGGCCTCGGCCCATTGGCCGATTAAACTAGCACGCGAGAAAGTTACGGGATTTGCTGACACAAAATCTCTGAAAGTAGTCATGGAATGAGAAAAAAAGGTTCGATCACATGTTCGGCAAACGTGACCGTCTCTGCTGCCGGCCCTTAAGACGGGGGTCTTTCTGGCCTTTCACTGTCCTCATTATTTGCCAGGGAACAGGCACGGGGCTTCTACATTTGTTGCACCTCGTTTACTAGGGAAAATTATTGCATAAGGAGGTCTGTTTCACGCTCGTGGCCCCGTGACTAGAAACGTCGAACGGGTCTGTGGTCCGGATATCGATTCTGTTCAGGGCTCTGCTCCGAATGGTGCCAAGGAAACCTTGTATTAACGAAATATAAAACAGATCGAAGCTGTGTGATCAATGCGTGATCATGTTCCTTCTAATATGTATATAGAAATTTATTATTTAGATTTTTTTCGTGTAGCAGAGATATTCAATAATGATCAGTGATTTTTGACATTGGAATTACTACGCTGTGAATTATATTTGGTTCTCGTACAGCAGAAATAAAAATTAGACGGAAACTTGTTTTTTTTTATAAAGTACTTTATTATGATAAAAATAATGTAAAAATATTTTTAAATAATGTATTATTCAATTTGAATAAAATTTTGTTTTGTATTGTGATGTTCGAATTTATTGATGTTCGAAATACAGTTTAGTTATATGTGTTAACGAAAGAAGCGCATGAATAAAACAAAAAATTATAAACGAAACGATATTCAGCCTAATGACTAAATCTTCATTGAAAATTATTATAAAGTACAACGTTTTAATAATTAAAAATTTATGATTTACTGAATGGTTATAATTAATTAAAAATTGAAGATTTTTTTATGATAATTTTTCAATTAATATTAATTGAAAAATATCTTGAACCAATATAACTTCTTTTGGGAAGAGGAACATTTATTTAAGGTCGTGTATGTCACCTACTGTAAAATGCACCCGCGCTATTTCCAGTGAATCCTTACGCGCAACTTCAATTAGACTATGATGTAATACGATCACGTTTGCATTCCACAATGTTTCACATTTGAATATCACCCATTATTTATGTTTCAATGCTCTAATTACTTCAACTAATGGATAATTAATTCAAATAACACTTTGAATACGCTATTTATGCTATTTTTATGCATATTATTGACATCATTAAATTACACTATATCTGTTTTCATAATTCCTATTGTCTACATCCCTTTGTTCACTATTATTGTTCAATTACGTACTCTCATTATTTATAGCGCGATGAATACATGATAGGGGAAAGTAAAGTAAAATGGAACGGTCAGGTAAAACTGGACAGTAATGTTTTTCATAGACAAAGAGCTCGTACCAAGTTGATATCGCATAACATGGTTCTAATAAGTCCTCTATATGGTTTGAAATCAACTGCAGAACAGTACATGAGTTAGTTTTCGATTAAAAGCACTAGACAGATATTCAATAAAAAAGTTTTGATGTTACACACATGATTGAAGCATTTACTTTTACCTTTCGATTAAAAAATTGAATAAGATAAACATACAGTTAAACTGTATGTTTAACACTCAAGTTATTTCTTTATCTCATACCAAATTGGAAATTTTGCACAAATTAAGCACAGGGGCAACAGAAGTCCCTAACTATGTGCTTTGTTTATAGTTTTAATTGGTTACTTGTAATCGTATTGATATACAACAAATTAGAATCGAAGATGAGTTAAAAACTGACCAATTAAATAGCACCAGTGCAGAAAAAGAAGATGACACATTTATTTATGATTTTTGTTCATAAAATCATATATATTTCTAGTTTATTTATATTCGCTTCGTAAAGATTTCGTATTTTTAGTTTTACCTACTATTTTTGCGAAGCGAATATTTCAACACTTTTAGAAAATCGTATTTTCATTTGTAGCTAAATATTTTTATTAAAAGAATCTTTTATTTTCTTATAGATCACAAATCTTTATTCACAGTTTCTTTGTTATTAGGGTGCAAAAAACAGCGTCCCATTTTACTTTATTTTCCCTTACATTATTATTATCATTTCAAATATTCAAAGCGATTGCAGTTTTTCATGGAAGAAAAATATTTTTATAGTTTTCGTCCTCGTGCAACAGTATTATTCAAATTAGAACAGAAAATAATGATAAATCTCGTTCAAAACAAATTATGGTAATTTTACATGCAACATTATTCAACCCAATTACAATGTCAAATATTCCTGGATACGCTCCGCAAACGTGCAACGCAGTTTCTGAATTTTTCCTGTTCCTAGATATGCATCACGTTTCACTCCTTAATCAATGTTTGCAGCGTACGTGATTTCGTTTGTGAAGCAACACGTGAGAATTGAGATGCAACATATCTATAATTATCGTGTATCAATTGTTCGCATAAAATGCAGCTGGATCGCCCACGATATCCGCCATAATTACGGAGGTACGTTATTGTACGTCTATTGCACAAACGACGTTATTTAAGGATGCAGTGCTCGAAATACAACGTATAGATTCAACTATCATTTCTCATAAATATCATGCCAGCGAACGTCGCTACCAACAATGTCGAGTAATTACCATGGCGTTCGAGAATTTAAATGAACCTTTCGCGTTACGATAATCGACATATAGAATGATCTTATCGGAAACAATAAAAAGCACATATTTTATCAAAAGGAACTTATTTGAGGCATCTCTTTAGAATATACTATAAACTTATAATTACTTTATAATATATTATAAGAAATGTATGTTTATAGCCTGATTCGTAATGATAGAGATAATTGAGATTCGTTTGTATGTAAATTTTATCAACTTAAGAGTGAAATAAAACATTAATAAAAATGTAGTCGGTGTTCTTATTTTATAGGTGTTGATTGAAATTAAACTATGTAAATTAAACAATTTAAATTATTATTAAAATATTATGTTAAGAGTGGTTTAAGTGAAATCGTTGAAAAATATTGCGTAGTTCTCTTTTGAACACCATTGAAAGATCAATAAATATACATTGAAAGGTGCTTACTTAGATTTTCATGAAATTTCTGTTGTATATAATAGAAAATTTGAATACGAGTACTTTTTTTACTTTAAATTTATAAAATAAACTATTTTTACTTCAAATTTAGGAAATAACCTGTATTAGTGAACGTTACATCGCACACTGAGACAAGCATTCGAAGCCCCTTATAATTCAATAAGAACCGGCATCCAAACCTTCAATTTCATCTAAAGGGTCCATCCACGTGCCATCGCAGCTCCAGCTATTGATTCGTTTTTATTTATTCTAACGCGCAATAAGGATAATTCTCTAAATGATCACGTAATATAACTAAAAGGAAAGTATTTCTAAAACTAATTTAAATCTAATATATGTTTGAACGCGTACATGACGAAGTGCATTATATAAGTACACATTAAGGTTCAGTTTTTTTAATTATATAAAAATTGCTCTACAAATCATATATTAATAATCTGAATAAAATAAACAAAATAAACACAAATAACAAAATTCTATAATGCTTCCAAATACTAAAACGTTCAAACTCCAAACTATAGATGTTCATTCAAATGCAAATTTTTACGAACTGTCTCAAAAAAACTTTCTTAAATAATGCATCGAGCTTCTAATTAAATAAAAAAACCCACCAACTTCTTACTATACTGCTTTCGGAATAACCGTTTGTACTATAAACACATAATCTTCTTGTTATGATAAGACGATAAGATTATGAAAACATGTATAATACAATTTAATGATGTTAATAATATGAATAAAAATAGCATAAATAGTATATTTAGAGCGTGGTTTGAATTAACTACTCATTACTTAAAATAATTGGAGCATTCAAACAGAAATAATCAGTGATAAGATCCTAAGTTCATTCATGAAATCCCCAATAAGAACAATCAGTCTGTTCTTGATGTCCATTCTAAAAACTTCATGCAAACATCCGTAACCTAGTTTCAAATAACTTTGCGCTCCCGCTAATCAAGGTGTTTCGTAATCTCGTTACTTTCCCCGTCTAAAAAGTTTCTGCGCAATTAGCAGAGTCACGTGACCGAACAACTGGAAGCATTTTCATCAGGCACTTTCGATAAGGTGGTAATCGGTAATCTTACATTCGGTTGACCTGTTTTCACGGGATTTCGCAACTCTGCGAACGCATAGGTGTATTAAATGCGAACGTGGAAATGCAACCGGCATGCTCCGCCGAGAAACTAGTTAGCCTTAACCGTAGTGTTCGAGTTTCTGTCTTTCTCATTTACCGTACTTTCCATCTGCCTCTCGCCTCGATTAGCAACAAAGCGTGTCAATGCCAAGCATCCTGCGCTAATAGTAACATGCAGACGCTAAAACTGGCTAGATATCTCAGCATCCTGCGAATATTCGAATTGCTTCATCGGTAACTTCAACAGAATCGTATAATTTCTCAAAAATGAACGTTCAGGCATATTCATAAAAGTTTCTTTAAACAATGAATGCTTGAGGGAGGACCTAACTACCCTTGGTGATGTATTCTTCTTGTAACTGGTGGATCAATCAGCAAGAATATGAATTCTATATGAGAAACTAACAATAAGTCAAAAATATTTAGTGCAATTTTTTTATTTAAGGTTTTCGAGAAAATGAAGTGCTTGACTAATATCTAGCTATGATACAATCATAAGTAAATAAATATTTTGTCGTTCGAAGGTCCCTTTTCAAAGCAACATGCTTATGTAATAATATCATGTTTGAATATGTCTTGACGGAAGTTTGCCAAAAGCAGATGCTATCGACAAACATGTAGAATAACTTCTTCAACTATAGGAGCTATATCACGTGTACCTCGCTAAATTTTCTGTTTTAGTTTGCACAAAAATGAGATCTCGAATAAAGAAAATTGATTCTTCACAAGTTTAAGTTACACGGAACTTCTGTATGTTAATTTCCTTCGGTTTGCTTGCTTTCAGTAACTAATGGATTAACGTTCCATGACAAAGGATTACCTCCGCGTTTTGAAAATTACGTAAATGAAAAATGAAGAAAAATGAAAGTAGAACGTACATGATAAATAAACATTTCGGTCATTCTTGTGACAAAAATACTGTAATACAGAATAGTAGAACAGTTAAAGAATCTTAAGATTCCTTAAGAAATCCTCTTGTTACACATGGTGCATATCATACTTTTTCAATTGTGGTTACTGAATATGATATAACACAAATTGAAAGGAAACGATATAATAAGAACAAAATCCTGAACTATAGCAGAAAGACCATAAGTGGAAACTCTTTTGCTAGCTATTCTTAGAAATAAAATGTTTATAAAGAACTTGTTCATAAAAGAAATAATTTACGGGATCATTGAATTTAACGTTTCACTATATCGTTACATACATGTACATACACGAGGGTTCGTAACTATTTTTCAGAGGACCATCAATTTTAAATCTCTTTTTGACAAAAATTTGAAACAAGACCTGAGTTAAGCTCACAATTAGTTTCTATCAATATTAATGCACATTTTCTTAGTAATCTAAATCTGCAAATTCCCTATATCTTGTTGATTATAAATTTACCAGTTTACAATAGCTTATTCACTAAGTATAGTTTCCCTTTACACACATTTTTCCGTGCATTTTGTTAAATACTTAAAATAATCCTAGATTAGATATTAAGCTATAATCTAGTTAGCCTGCCAACAGGCTACCCTATAGCCGCAAAATATATTTCAGTTTAGAATGACCATTAAAGGACCTACCGAGGCCACTTAATTGTGTCATAATATCCGAATAATATTTTTCATGAATAATTTCCAATCTTGCAACTTGCATTTTTACCATTACATTTAACCTTTGCATTTACATTGTATTCAACGAACTTGCAGGCGATACCATTTCGGTATCTCAGCCAAAATATAAAAGATTTAATATAAATTCACAATGAAACATTTACGTGTCAAAGAATACTAAATAAAAGATTGGCTTCTGTTCTGCAGCATAAGCAACTCAAATAATACTCCCAGGGAAATGAGAAAGTAAAGTGCGGTTTTGAACAAGTCAATCTCCAACTATTACGAAACTTAAATCTTTCGTAAGGTTTCGAGTCTGGATGAAAAGTGATTTACCATGCATCACGATATATGAATACTTCACAAGCATTTAATCGGCAGTAGTTAATCAACTTCCGTAGTCTATTTATCGTTAGGTTAAATAAAGCGCACGATTAGAATAAAACCAACATAACCAGTTAGCGATATAAATAAAATCGACATATAAACTTAAATTAGTCAGGTGGAGATAGAATAATAGACTCCAAGGCAAAAATTTACATTTTATCGGCGAAGACCTTTCTATAGTTGTTACACGCAATATTAAAAATAGCATTTTCATTAGCATACACGATAGAATTCCTGATCCGATATGCAGCAGATAAGAGACCACTATAGAGAGATAAGCTATAGATAACTCGCGATGCATGTAATTGGATAAGAATGTATTAATGAAACTTATGAGTAGAATCCAGCGGTTTACTTAAAAGGCTTTGTCATCTTCCTCTAAATCATTTTGTCTCATTTACTATCTTTCTTATTTTGTATGCTATATAAAATAAATAATGTTGCGATTGCTCGCTGATATATATAAACAACAAAATGAGTTTAATGAAAAGTTTAATGAAAAACTTGGGCAATACCCTATTCATACAACCTAGACATAATTATAACAAGAAAGAAATAAGTAAGTAAAACTGTAATAAATTTTTTAAATTTATTTGTACACATTTATATTTATAAATATTGGATAAAATATGAATTAAGAACATACAAGAAAAAACGTATTGTCACACGATACCAATCTGTCGATCGGGGTCAATGTCGCATGAAGTTTGCAATTTGAATTACATAGCGGGATGTTCAAATTAATGCGCTCATTTTAGAAGCGAGTTCAGTGTACCTTGAAACGCGAATGATGAACAAGGAAAACAAGACTGACACATACCTTCGTTGCGATTGACTATTGCTGCAAGTATTGGAATATCCGGAATCCGACACCTTCGCATTTTCGGTGGACACCTCTTCCATCGTTCTGTTTCCTTTCTAGCGTACCTCTGAGACGATATCCGTAAGGTCACAAACACTGATGCTAAATCAAATAAACTCGATGTTCACGCGTCATTGTTACAGTTCGAGGTTGCTAAAAGTAGTTAGGAAAAACCGATAAAGGAAATAACGGTTGATAGACTGTCCGCAATAATCACGAAAGAGATGCAAGACTATTAAAAGTATCGAATTCACCGTTAACAATTTATGATTTAAAACGGTGCACCACCTGATCGATCATGTATTTCTTTTTCTCTGTTTAAATCTTAAGCTAATGGTGAAACATATACTCTCACTAAATTCTCTGATGATTCACAACAAATACATAAACACACTGCGATGTCATCCAGTCGGCGATATCTATGAAGACTGAACCGTTCCGAACATCGCATATCTTTCGCGCGGAGCGACTGTTCCGCATCATACAGCACGTTTGGAAACACGTGAGTCGCTACCCCCACTATTTCTCTGTTAACCTATATCGATGCAAAACGTGCCCCACTTAGGCCTTTCGAACGTTAAACGCGATTAAAATAGTCTCCTCCCAACGACTTCTCACGTTGATATCTCAACGGAAAAATTTTCTGGCGCGAAAATTCTACTTTGACGCATGATCATATGACACCTGCTAGCCGGCCGGTTTAACAGATTTTCGAATAAAAGATTTTTGATTAATTTCCAAACCGCTTATGAACATTTAGGAAGGAAACAGGAAAAATGTTAATATAACATTCAACTTTTGTATAAAAAACAGTTTTATTATACACTTTTATAAAAATGGAAAAGAAACATTTTAAAAATAATAAATTATAAATAATTGTATCACATTACAAGAAGAGAAACTTGGCAAATACAATTTTTCTCGGATTGATATAATATTTTTAGTTCAGTAATAAAAAAAAGAAACAATATAAAATTATAATTTATTATTTATGTCTTAATATCTGATATATGTACGAAATATCAGAAATATCTTACTCTACTATATCACAGTCATCAGGTACACATCTTTGAATCCTTCAGGTATCCTGTAAATGAAAAGAAACAACATGTCAGGTCAATGAATTATATACATGCAAAACAGGACACTCCGTTCATTGTAATTTAAAAAAAAAATAAGTGAAAGTCAGTGTGAGTTTTTCAATATTTAATGTGTATTTAATATCATCAAACAAGTCAGTTACAGTCTCCTAAAACATCATTGCGTATGGTCATTGAGTAAAACAGTCTAACACACGTACAAAAGTGTCCACCATAAAGGGTTCATGTTGTGCGTCAATAATTGGTATTTGACGAAATTGTGATCATGGACGTAATATTAATTTGCTAAGAAAACGTACGTTTCTTAATAACTCAAATCAATTGTGAAAAACAACATGCTGATATATTTTATGCAAATATATCCGTATATGTGAACATATGTGATGTTAAATATTTCCAAAACAAGATATACCCACATCACATTGAAAATTTTGGTATGTTATTCCCCTTTTTAACTCTAACTTAACATTTTTTTATAATTTACAAATTTTTATGATTATCAGAAGATATAAAAAAATATTACATCTACTGAAACTTTATCAATAATTAATATTAAATTATGTAATATTAAAACAATTATCATATGTAGAACATACTACAAAGTAGTAATTGAACTTTCGAACTGTAATTTCAAAATTACAGAATATAACTGTAATGTACATAAACATTTTTAAGAATACGCTTCGCATTCTATAGATTTTATCATAAAAATATATAGTTAATCTATTATTAATAGACGAAACTATATTTACAAAACAAAGAAAATTAAAGTATGCCAGAGTGTATCTTGTTTTGGAATCAAATTCTGAGATTATTATCACAAAAATATTCCTCGAAAGATATACAAGAAATAAATTACTTTACGTTTTCTTCCATACACAGTATAGCTAATAAAAGAATAGTACAGAACTATTAAATATAAATTATAAACGAAAATTGGTTTCACTAACTCTAAAGCACAAGATAGATTGTGTTTTAGAGCCTGCGCGAATAGTTAAATTGACGTCATTAATTATCATACCTGTTTTACAAACAAGAATATAAACTTTTTTTAAAGATAATTTTATCTTTTGTTTCTTTTTTACATGTTTTCATTTGTTTCAATACATAGAGGGCTTTATGTGGAAAAACTTTCATCCAAATACGATTTTCATACAAAAGCACATATATATATATGTATGTTTGTGTTTGTATATATATATACATGTATAGAAATCCTCTTCTGGATAATATCTGTAGCATATTAACACAACAACAATAAACATTTCAAGTATATTGCATCATGTAACTTCCTTACATAAAAGGAAGAAGTTTCAAATCTAACTAGTTTTCTGTATACTATATACTTTTTAATTGAATCTTTAAGATCACTTTTCGCACAGGCCTCTTAAAATAATAAAATTAGGAAGTCAGGTGTATGTGTAACGATATGTATGGATAAAGTAAAGTATCGTTAAAGTTCAGTAACGTTGAAATCGCGAACGTAAGCGATAGTTAAAAGTAGGTAGTTGGAGTAGTTTCCTTGGATGCGGGCCCGACGTGGTCAAGTGAGTCTTAAAATTCGTCTCTTTTATTGCGTGCGTCCAGCTTGTGTATACCAGTCAGTCTGTGAAGACAAATAGAAAAATTACATTTTCTCCTGTTTTTTTTTCAAGTAAAGTAATCGTCAGTTATAACGTCAGGGTGTTAAAATTTAAATGCCTCCCTCTTTCTCTCCTTTTTCTCTTTCTCTTTGCCATGTGCTCAGCGATGTACTTACGAGGTATACAAAAAAAAAATTAATTTTCATCTTCGTCCATTCGTAATCGTTTTCTACGATCATCACCGACATTGCGCTCTTCTGCTTCTAGTACTTTCAATCGTGAACCACAAATTTCTTGCCCATGTAGGACCTACCATGAAAATTTATCATTTAATTTACCGCCTTGGTTATATTAAATACTTTCAATTAACAAGTTCTGTTACTGGGAACACAATCTGAAATATAGATTGAACTATCAAATATTATACAACATACCTCAATTGCTTCATTCGCACTTTCCACGCTAGCGTACTTTGCGTATCCACAATTCTTCCCTGGGAGCATGTATACATCTATAAGATTCCCAAATCTACAGAAAGCATCCTTCATGGCATATATAGGTGGTACTGGAGGGCCACATACGATAAAACATCTTTTTGCCACTTCCGCGTCTATACTCGCCATTGGTTGTACAGGTGGTAATTTAACGCACATTGAATGTTCTAAACCTAATTGACAGACATCATTATCGTGTAACAAACATTATTATATTATATAGATAAAATGATTTCTTACTTGGTGCAGTCAACCCTGCAGCTTGAATTAGAGATGTAGCTTGAGCAATAGTTTCTGCCAAATGAGCTAAATCTGTTCTAGCATTAGCTATTCCACCTGTAGAACTTCCAGGCTTTACAACACTTTTTGGAGGTACACTTGATAAATCAGGTTTAACTATCATTCTGTGACCAGGAGGGTACTCAAAACCATGAAACTTTTCTCTTGCATATGCTGCAGCACTAGGATTAGAGTACACTACAATAGCTTGACCTCTTGGCATCCTATATCTAACATCATTTTTCAAATGACAATAATCCAAACCAGGTACAATATCAAAGAGTTTCCATAATTGATCTTGATTTAGTGCTGGGTGTGCAATAACTTGTAAATGTGTGTAACCTTCGGAATTAGGATAATTTGTAGCAATCTCTAAACTAATACTGCTTTTCCCAAAATTTGAAGAACTATAATTTCCACCGACACTATCATAATGAGAGGATAGTCCATTGTTATATTTCACATCCATATGCTCAGGTTTTGGCTTTTTGGGTTCAGCGAATACAGCTTTATACTTCCTATCGCATTCTTCATATGCTCTAGCTGCACTGGATACTCTTTTAAACTTCACATAACCGAAACCTTTCGATTCATTTGTATTCCTATCTTTAACTACTGTTGCATACTCTATGGGTCCAAACTTAGAAAATTCTTGTTGAAGTTCACTATCAGTCATAGACTTTGGTAAAACACAAAACAAACGAACCCATCTTTCTTCTTCATTTGTTTCTCGTACAGATCCCTGATCACGACTGTAATTAATCCAAACATAGGCACACTTACAAAAAAATTAATTTATATATACCACTAACAAACTAACAAATATAAGACAGTTTAAAGTAATTTTTGGCAACTTACTTTGAAGCAATCATTACTTTAATAGGTCTTCCAACAGAACCCAACATTTTGCCATTCATTTCTTCTAGAGCAAAAGCTGCCTCTGAGGTTTTCGAAAATTTAATGTATGTGACTCCTGTATAAACAACATGCATTACATTATAGGTATTTAAAGTAATGTATTAAAAGTATATAAACAACCCATACAATGTTGTAAAGAAAATACGACGAAGAAGTTATAAACATATAAAAATTATATTAATTAAATTAAAAACAAAATGAAAACATTATTGATTTATCCTTAAACAAGAGAAATTACCTTTATTTTCGCCTGAATTCCGATTCTTAACCACCCATATATCTTCAATCTTCCCAAATTTCTCGAAAGCTTTTCTAAGGTCATCTTCTTCCAAACTTTTGTGGCATATGACAAATAAACGCGAATTTGGCGGATCATCATTTTTTGACCGCAAATCAGTTTGCGAATAATATGAATCCCTTTCCCTGTGGTCAGCCATTTTGCAAATGAACACTGCAGACTAAGTCGCCCGTCTACGGTCAGTGAAGTCGACGCATTTCAGGGACGGCTAAATGGAATTCTATACTATAAATTTTCAAATTACTTTTCAACGTTATTTTTCAAATTATACATTAACTGTTAGTATTTTATAATTAATTTTTATGCAAATCGTTTATTTCTATACAAATACGATGAATATGCTGGTTTCTAAATTCTTACACAATTTTAGCAATTCTTATAATAAAATTACTTTTGCGTTATCATACGTATAACTTTAATCATATTAGAACGAATTTGTAATACTCAGTCACATTTTGTTTTTAAGATAATAAAAAATTGTTATCACGTAATTGTTGTATTCCTTCGTTTTGTAAAGTTTTATTTAACGTCGGGTGACTCATGGCGCGAAATTATACTTAGATTGCCATTTTAGTCGACGTAGGTGCTATTGTAAATTTGTACGTAGCTTTTTTGTTGAAAGTTAGTAATTACAATTATATATTCAATTCGTTTTTCAGTTTTATACAATAAAATATATAGTCATGTCGATACGTATGTTGAAATTACGGTATTTGAATTGTGTCATGTGTATCATAGGAAAGATAGGTTAGGTTGAATTACTTCCGCATTCATTTCACAAATACATATTCTTAAAGAATCTGAGTCATGCTCTACTATTTTCTTTCACTAACTTTCTTGCGTGAAAGAGGCATGTACATAATGAAATATTAATAGTTCTTAGCGTTTTCATCTGTTGAATGCATTCTAATGATTAAACGTGTTATTGTAACCTACTTAATCCTCATTAGATCTAATTATTGTAAATAAAAAAATTAAATGGACAGAAAATATTCATTCAAACAGGAATACTTTTTCTTAAGAGGTGTCTTGAATAAAGTGATTTACATATATAGAAATATAGATGATATATTATTTGTAAACAAAAGTACTCTTATTTTCTTCAATATGAATATTTGTTCATTAATTGTTCCCAACAATGTCTCACAACCATTTATACATTACAATGTATAACATACAATAAAATATTTATCAATCATAAAATCAATTTCAAGTTCATCTTGTATAAACATTCTCTCATTATAAATTATAAAAAGAAATCATTTCTATGCATCATATGTAGAAGCAGAGACATTACCACCATGCCCTGTCCAATTTGTATGTACAAATTTTCCTTCTGCACCAAGTAATTCATAAGTGTGAGCACCAAAATAGTCTCGTTGAGCTTGAAGTAAATTTGCTGGAAGTCTTGAAGTTCTAAAGCCATCATAGAAAGCTAGAGCAGTTGACAAAGCAGGGGTTGGTATGCCAAGTTGCACAGCAGTTGATACTACTACTCTAGCACTAGCTTGACAATCTTTCATTGCATTAGCAAAGAAATCATCTAATAACAGATTAGAAAGCTTTGGATTTTTATCAAATGCTGCTTTTATATTTCCCAAGAAAACGCTGGAAACAAAGGTAAGAATATTGTAGTAAAATATAAGTATTATTGTTTGAAAAGTATTAATGAAGGAATATACCTCCTTATAATACACCCTCCTCGCCACATTAATGCTATACCACCATAATTCAAATTCCAATTGTGAACTTTGGCAGCTTCTCTTAGTAGCATAAATCCTTGAGCATAGGAAATAATTTTTGATGCGTAAAGGGCGTTCTTTAAGTGCGTCAGAAATTGTTTTTTATCACCTGTATACACAGTATCTGGACCTTTTAATATGGAACTTGCTTCTACTCTTTCACTTTGCAGAGCTGAAAGACATCTGGCAAATACTGATTCTCCAATTAGTGTTACTGGAACTCCATAATCTAATGCAGCAATGGCTGTCCATTTTCCAGTTCCTTTTTGACCAGCTGTGTCTCTAATTCGTTCAAGTAAATAACCCTTCTCATCTTTATATTTAAGAATATTACTAGTGATTTCAATTAAGAAAGAATCTAATTCTCCTTTATTCCACTCATCAAAGACTTGACTCATTTCTTCTGGATTAAGTTTCAAACCATTTCGCAAAATATGATATGCTTCACAAATAAGTTGCATGTCTCCATATTCAATACCATTGTGTACCATTTTTACAAAATGTCCTGCGCCAGTTTCTCCAACCCAATCACAACAAGGTTCGCCATTGACTTTTGCACAAATCGACTACAGGAAAATATTTTATTATATTATCGCAATAAACATGTATTAGATAATTTTTAAATAACCATTGCATTTTAGATACTTGAAAGATATCTTTAATATGTGGCCAGGCTTTTGGGTTTCCGCCTGGCATCAAAGATGGTCCATATCTAGCACCTTCTTCTCCTCCACTGACACCACTACCAACAAATAAAATTCCATTCTTGTCTAAATCATTAGTTCGTCTCTCAGTATCTTGATATTCAGAATTACCACCATCAATTATGATATCACCAGGAGATAGTAAGGGCACTAATTGTTCAATAAATGCATCCACGGCAGGACCAGCTTTTAAAAATATACACATAATGGTTTGAAATTGTTTTTGTTAGAAGACACAATAGAAGTATATAAGATTAATATCATAGATAATAAATATCTTATCATATATATGCCTTAAACACTACAATGTGAAGGTAAGTAATCTATTACAAGGTCAAATTATAGTTCTATAGAATTTATATACAGTAGTATATATGTGTAATAGTAACTCACCTTTAACTAGAAGCATTACTCTCCTTGGTGATTTTAATTTCTCCACCATTTCTTTCAGTGAATAGGCACCCACAACTTTTGTACCCTTTGCTTCATTTTGCAAAAAAGATTTAACTTTATCTGTTGTACGATTATATGCACATACAACAAATCCATGATCATTCATATTAAGAATTAAATTTTGGCCCATTACAGCCAGACCAATAAGAGCAATATCTGCAACCCTATAAAATAAAGTATATTAGATATAAAGCTATACACAGAAGTGAAAAAAAAATATATTTTAACACGTTGTGTACTGGCTAATTATCAGAAAATTAAATTGTGTGGATTTTCAGTGAGATCCACTTATATCACTATCTATAAAAAAAAACTCAGGTATCGTATTGTTATATAATATATTTGAAATGGATAATTAGTTCTAATCAAATTTAATATTTCCTTAAATGCTGTGGTAATTATCAAAGTTACATACCTAGGGATCTTTATATAAAAACGAGATTTCTCGTTACCAGTACGCAATGTATACATACATTGCATACATAATATGCAATGGAACGCAACATTATATTAAAAAACATGTGATATATTAATTTTAATATAATAAATTATTTATACGAATATAAATATAAAATAATATTCAGATGGTCTTAAACAGAAAAAACAATTTTCTAGAGTGTTTTTGAATTTTGAATTTTATATATAAATTTTAAATTATTTTTTATTGAAAATAATAGAAAAATTACTTACGGTTTACTCATTTTAATAATTGATCAATATGAACAATATAGAAAATAATTTGCCGTTCGCTTGAGTTCAAAGAGTAACAAGTGTCCGAACGTTTCCACTAAGCCGATTCAGAATGAACATTCATTCTCGAGTAGTCTTCGGCATCAGCCGACGTTTCACTAGCCAATCACAATGCTTACCAAGGTCAGCATGAAGTCAACACTATGTGAACACTACTACTAATCAAGTATTTCATAATTACACAACACAGTGATATGACTCAAACGGAATATTATACACCGATTAAACGAAATTACTTTTTTATGTATCATATTATATAATTCTCGCTAGAACTATGTCACCATAAAAATTTACTTTTTTGTCTTCTATGTATTAATCTGTTCAAAAATTATGAAATAAAGATCATATAATAATTTAAAGAAAGTGAAATTAATTATATTCAGTCATTGAACTAAAATGTTGTATGTTTATATTTATTCAAATACGTTTTAAAATTTTGAATAATAAAAAATTTATTTTTAAAATATATTTTATATCACAGAGGTTTTTGATTACAAAAAAAATAAATTAAATTAAATAAAACGATTTACGTTGTAATTAATAGCCATGACTTTATATATGTTAACTTATACCAACGTCATAGTATTAAAAGTTACAAAGTTTCAGTATATTAATTTTCATTACCGTAACAGCTTAAAATTACAATTGTAAATTACAAGTTTACTTTTTCTTCTTTATTAATAAGAAGAAGATGTAATTATTTAATAAACGATAGTAAGTAATTTTAATGTTATTGTATATATGCTTATGATTTAAAACAATGATATTGTTTTACGCGCGCTTTGTCAAACATTGTCCACCTCCAATCAGTGTCTGTATGTAGAAGGCTGACGTCACTTTCAGTTATCGCCAAACGATGATTGGGCTAGTCGACCGTATGGATGTTTTAATTGGAAACGCAACATGTCGCGATTTGCTTGATTAGATTAGGGAAGGTCCTCGTATGTTTCTTTCACTTTAGCATTCTATTTAGTGAGTTTCCAACAGTTTGTAACCGTTTTTCAGTGTATATTTTACGTTGTGAAGCTTCAATGATGATACAAGGTTTTATGAAACATGTTAAAAAAGTCTTTATAGAAAGATGAACATAACCCTACGATAATGAGATGTCCTATTTCTGAAACCAAAAACATCCCTTTTATCAAGAGTAAATCTGTACAGTGATACAATTAAATAAATATTATCGTCTAAGTTATATGGTGACTAAAGCAATATGGGACTACTTTTCGCAAAATTGTGGAGTCTCTTTGGCAATGAAGGTAAATTCCATATATGTACCAACATTATTCATTATTTTATTCTTTCGAGAATCACGTCATGCAAGTAACATCACTGTAATTTACCTGCCTATAGTAACAAAGAATTATTAAAATCTCTCTAATATGTTAAATACATATAAATAAGAAATAAACGTCCTCGTTCTTTGTCTCCATAAAATATGTAAGAAGATTACAAGTCCTGAAAAATTTTAACTTTCAACCATAACTTTGCATGTTTAACAATTTTAATAAGAAGATTGATTATATTATATTTAAATTATATGGAATTCATGATTGTTTTGTTTGTTAAAGTTCTTATATTGAAGAAAGTACGCAATGGAGTGAAAGTACATTCCAATCATTGAAATCTTTATATAATAGGTGAAATAAAAATTTGCAAACAATCATTGCTGATTTCAGTTCTTACATCTGTAATTAATTAGGAAAATTAAATCAATTATAATGAATATAAAATGTAATTTTGCATTTAATATGTGTTACATTGTTTGAAATTTACATTTGTCCTACTTTATATATACATATGCTAACATATGTTTATGTAAATTCTCCTTTTGTAGCAATCTGTATACTTTAATTTTATAATATGATACACTTTCATTTTTATATTCATTGCAAAATATAGTTAATATTTTATAATATTTTAGTAGACTTCTAAATAATTAAAATTATGCTGCTTTATGTTTTAGAACATAAAATAGTTATGGTAGGTTTGGATAATGCTGGTAAGACGACTATATTATACCAGTTCCTAATGAATGAAGTTGTCCATACATCACCAACTATCGGATCTAACGTTGAAGAAGTAGTTTGGAAAAATATTCACTTTATTATGTGGGATTTGGGTGGACAGCAAAGTCTACGAGCAGCATGGTCTACTTATTACACTAATACTGAATTTATAATAATGGTTATAGATAGTACAGATAGAGAAAGACTTGGTGTAATAAGAGAAGAATTGTACTCAATGTTAAATCATGAGGAATTAAGTAAAGCGAATGTCTTAGTGTATGCTAATAAACAAGATTTGAAAGGTAGCATGACAGCTGCAGAAATCTCTAGACAACTGGATTTAACATCGATTAAGAAGCATCAGTGGCATATACAAAGTTGTTGTGCACTTACTGGAGAAGGGTAAGATTAAAATTAGTATGTGTAATGATATTAATCATTGAAGCGCAACCATCTAATAGTTTAAAATTTTTTAGTCTTTACCAAGGCCTTGAATGGATCGTTGGACGTTTAAAGAAGACATGACGTAGATTATGAGGATTCATTTTAAATGTAATAAGATATCTAAACTGTAAAGTATATGTTCATTGTAAGTTACTGTGCCACTTTACCAATTGTACAAATGGAATGAGAATGAATGATCATTTTTCAAATGGTACACTAGCTTCATGCATAACTTGAAGTGTAATTGTATATGCTGATCACAGTAATTGCTGCAGGCACTTAACGTATCAAATGGTGGACGGGTAAACTTTGTCTTATCTATTAATGTGATACACAATATAATAGCAAATTATTGAATTTATAATATAAGAGTAAAGTAACGTTTTATCTATTCTCTTCATAAAGAAAATATCTAAAAGGAAGAAATCATGTTATAAAAGAAATGGAAAAGATTTAGAATCACAAGAGTCTCTTATAAGAAGTATTGTTGTATGAAGAGAAATATGTATAGTAGATTTTTTTTACTTGTGTATAAAAAGATCCGTATTGTAAACATTTTACAGCAGGACTGCCAAATTTAACATATTACTAATACATGATACTATTTTTAAGTATAAAGTGCTGCATTCAAATTACAATTCGAAAAATATGAAATATTATTTTTCATTTGATAACAAAATTTAACGATAAATCTGCATGTTTATGTCGAAAAATATAGAATTTAATCTTGATCCCGTCCACCTATGTTTGTAGGAAGAAAAGAATAGGTAGTTCATTCTGTTTGGTTGATATGCGGATAGAAATTGGCCTGTGCAATTTCCAAAACAACACCTATGTACATAGTTTTTTATACTCCGCATTATAGTAGTAAATAACTGTAAAAAGTAAAATCTGATCTAGCACCAATTGAACCACATATTTTTCAAGTTTTTGTGCGAGAGTTTTAACATTTCTCAGTGCTTGATACTGCAAACATCTTGTAAGATTTCTTGGCTAGATTTATTCAATCAATCTAATTAGACAATTGAAAGCAGAATACTTACTGCTCTGTGATACATGGATTCAGCAATGGGACGGTTGTTTGTTGGGAACATTGATTCTAAGTTATATAGGAGAATGATAATTATCTATTATAGAAGAATGTTCTTAATAGATGAAAAGAATATTTTCTTGTAGAAAAGAGCTGATCGTCTCATTGTACATATTAATGAATCTTTCTGATTTTTTAATCCATAAATATCCAATTAACAGCTGTCTCATTTATTTTATTTACTTCATAACTTAGGAAAACTAACTTTCGTATAGTTAGAAATACTCCAGTATTTAATATCTATTAAAACTTAAAATATTAATAGCATATGCAAAAAATCATTATAGAAATTATTAAGATCATTGTATGAAAGATAAATGCCGTCTAAAGCCAGAGTGAGATCATACATTTAAAGTTTCGTAAAAATATAAACAGTGGTTTTCTCATATTGAGAAACAAAGCATTATTGTCGTTTATATGATATAATACTGCAAATTGTACACAATACTATTATGTACATGTATATATTCTAATTAACGATTTTCGTTACATAAAAGTTGTGAAATATGCAGGACGCATTTACAGGTTGTTTTGTTTTAACGATGATGTACAATTCCTATGAGTTGGATACTATAATTACACGGATAGAAGCTTCATGGGTCAGTTACAATGAACTAACATGAAAATTAATGCAAGTGTTTGTGTTGAATCTATTGGTCATTGTTAACCAGTTTATATACTATAAATCAGATCATCATGAACGAGGTTGTTGATTGACATAAGGACTGAAGTTAATATAAAATAAATGAATTAAATTTTCTTTTGTGGGAAATGGATTATAAATTTTTTATTGCACTTCTTTTAACATATAGTTTCTTATTCCTTTATTTTTCTAATTCGGAATATTTTATAAATAGTTTATTAAATAATTATGTAATAATATAAAATTATAATAAAAATTATGTATATTTCCCATTATTTATTATATACTACAGAATCACAAAGTTTTAAGATTTTTTGTAATAAAATTTTTTAAATTATAATAAATATATTTGATCATATTCAGTTTTTGTCTCAAATAATAAATAACCATTAAAAAGTCTCTTAATCGGCAAAAAAGATATTGGGTATAGAAACTACTACATGTAATTTTCAAAGATCTATTTATTTTCACGTTTGTTATAAATAAAGTATCGCACACACTCACTCATTCTCTTAACAGTGGATCTACCACTGGTCATTATATTTTTAATGTACGTAAATTATTGTGACTCGTTGCGGTTGAGTCATCGACTTTTTGAGTGTAATGAAAAAAATTTTAAACCGATCACTGGTGCATTAACACTGCAACATTGTTTGCGTATTCCATTAACCCTAAATATTTCATATTATATTTTACATAACTGTATTTCGCTATGAGCAATTTTTTAAAATCTTCCTTTGCAAAAAAAAATAATTTCCTACGTAATGCTTTTCCACTATAGCGACATAAGTAAAGATATTGCGACTTAATTGTATCCTAAAAACTCTGATATCCTGTTGGCAGTGCCAGTTAAATTACGGACAATATCTGTGAAATATTAACTATGCACACAGCTAACTTTTGTATCCATCATTTTTGAATATTTGGTCTAATGGTTATTATAATGATTTATATTGTTTCCAATTTTAAAATAGCTGTTACTTAAATTCAACATAAAGCGATAAATATATTTACAATAAACCAGCTCTATTATTAACGTGTAGCATGATGTTCTTGTATTGGATTTGGCAGTTGAAACTATGTGTACTGAACCAATCTATATTTTATGTGTATGATTTTATAATGTAAAAATTTTATCACGAAAGATTAAAGAACAAAAAGATAACAAACAATTACAACTCAATTTGTTTAGTCTATACCTTTTATCATTTCATTTAGTCTAATAGAAAATTAGTTTAGTAACAAGTATGAGACACTTTGTTATCTTATAGTGGATGTTGTTACTTATAAGTGAAAGATTTATTCAATCTATGAAGTATCCTGGACTATGATTAATTCATATAGCAGTCTAAATCATAATTTTAAAGTTCAATTTGTCTCCAATAATATGTTACTATTCCAATTTAGTCAAAGGAGCTCAAAACTGATGTCACATAATGTATCGTTAGTTTACAAAATATCTCTTTATAGGCATGGGATTTTACCTGCACTATGTTGTGCATTCTTACATGAATGAAATATTATGTTCATCAGCATAACTGATTTGTGACAATAAGAAGAGTTTCCCATATCAATGAGAACTAGCGTCAAAAACGGTGGGTTTCTTATTTCCTAGAAGATGTACTTGTTTCGCAAGTTACATCCACTTGAGAAATGTGGATATGACATGAAGACCTAGTACAAATCTCAACTGCCGTGTCACAATACATATAAATATATCTATAGCTAGGACTCTGTGTTAATTTGAACAACTCTCTCCAATACAAAGTTGAAAATAGACACTGTTGCCACAAACAAACGTATGTGGCTAATAGTTTTCGCAGCTGATATCCTATTGACAGTGTCTGTCAAATTATAAACAATGTCTGCAAAATGTTAACTATACACACAGCTAACTTTTTTGTATTAATTATTTTCGTATGTTTGATCTATTATTACAATGATCGGTATTGTGGTTTTATTTTTAAAATCGCTACTATTTAAGTTAAATGTTAAGCGACAAATGTATTTACAATGAACTGTGTCTACTATTAACGTGTAGTATTATGTTTTCGTAATGGATTTGGCAGTTGAAACTATGTGTACTGGACCAATCTATATTTTGTATATATGGTTTTATAGTGTAAAAACTTCACCATATTTATTTGCATTGTTATTAAAAATCAACAATATTAGTTATAGTTTTTACAATATAATACACCATACAGTTCCATTTTAGAATGTCTACGTTTGAACAATATATCGTAACATTAGATGTTCATTTTTTATTAGATTAGATGATTAATTATTCTAATACCTGGCCTCATATTATTTTAATAATACTCGGCATTTAAAACGACTTCCTTGAAGTCATATTAAGATGAATTCGAAATGAGTTCGAGGTTTACACTTTTCTGTGTATCGATAACATTCGTAACATGATTCAAAGCTGTCAGTTCCTTATTCTTGGAAATTATGATGATGGTGTGATACGAACTTAGACTTTTCAATGATTCTGATTCCACT